TTTTTTGCGTCGGAGTCCATTGCGGTCGAACAGCTATACATGCATATTCGCAGTGACCGGTCTTATGTGTTCTTCGTAGCTGTAAAGGAGTAGCTCACCATGATTTTTGTCTCTATCAAGCGCAGCAAAACCCAATTTTTAGTAAAGAAATCTGCGATTTCTATTACAAAGCAAGTGAAAATTGTCTGCTTGAGTTCTTTGCGTCACAAAAGCCACTCGTGATTTATTTTTTTAGAGATGGCGCGCGCTATAAAAGACAATGCACGACAAAAATGAATGGAGGACTCGTAAATATGGCTGCATCGAGTAAAAAAAGGGATTTTACATTATTCACGGATTAACTTCTGCATAACTGCCACAATCTCATCGGACCCTTAACTTGTGATCCTCATGTGGCAAGTCTTCGTCCGGCCTTCTATCCTATCGCTGGTCATCTAGCAGGTCTATTCATTAGCACCAACAATGAACTACTCGTTCACTTATTCGCTTAACAAGACAAGGCCTTTCACTATTACCCGACACAGAGACATTGAAACATCTCCGAGTCACGCCATTGACGATTCCCTGATTTCGCACTCTTCTTCATTTAAATCACTTTTTCTAAAGCTTAATCAAGATCGATGTTTCTTATCTTGCGATTACTGTATCAATCACATTGATGGAGCTTCTTATAGGTGGATATAGTGCTGAAACAGGAATTATTTATTAATCAACTTTTGCCGGATACGCAACTCCTCGCGCTCCAGAGGTTCATAGATACGTGGACGGGATTCTGAAAAAATCGGAAAAGATGGCAGGTGTGGAAAGTGAGCTGTCGTCACATTTTTTCATACGTGAAAGAATCCAACATTCGAATGGAAATCCTCAGTTGAGTGCGCAATGAATTTAAATCGAGGCGCTAAGAATCATAAATCTAAAGCAAGACACTTTCTTACGTCTTCAACACCAGTAATGGAGACCTAAAATTTGCGCAGATTCTTTACGTTTAGGGGTGTAAATAAGAAATAATTGTATCCGAACTACGTGTCTTCGACAACAACTTTCTACCCAAAGATTTAAGGATCTAGGCGCTAATGCTTAGTACAAGCTGCAAAATCAGTGACAACAGATATAACGTTGGACAACATATCCTCGAATACTGTGCGACACACTTAATCGTTCACTACCCGCAACTGAAATTGCACAATGCAAGTGCTCAGTAGTTAAGCGGCTGTAGAACTGGGTGATCGCTGCAGATTGTCGATTTGCAATAACAATGATCATTTCGATGAAATTAAACGAAATGGATAAATCATAAGTAAATTAAAAACAATTCGAGCAATGAAATAGACATAAATTATTACAAAAAATTCAAGCGACTGTCAAGTTACAAGCGGCTATAACAAGCGGCCTTATTTAAATACATCAGTATTAGGAAGACGGAATCTTAGTAGTCGAATCCGAAGTAATAAGGCCGAAAAAGACGACACTGACATATTTTCTGGAATATTCTGATTTGAAAGTTTCATTGACGTGCGTAGATTTTATGTGTTAAGAACAACCAAGGAATACAGCAGTGACTAACTTCTCAACAGAGCGTTATGAATGTTGAACTCACGAAACACGTATTTGGATTTGTGAGTCTTCTTGAAATAAGGTGCCTTTATCTAGGAGGCCCGTCACCTTTACGTAGCTATTCCTGGAATAGAGGTACACTCTAGATGAAAAGGCGGAAAAGCTTAATGAAACAGTGATGAAGTATAGAAATCTTGCATAGATAACATAATTTGAATTTCATTTGCAACGAGGTATTACGTCGCACGGTTCGGGATCACTTGTAAAGCATATTCACGTGTCTCATAGATAAGGAGCTATAAACGAAAGGATTTTGTCGTTCATTGCATTGCTTGCAACTGGCACTCCTAAAGATCCATTTTTGCCGGAATCACAAAACATATTGATATTCGCAAAAGACATTAAAAGTACCTTTCATCTACCATATATTAACTAATAACGGACAAGCGCGTATGCTTATGCTTTATGCATTCAAATTTAACGTCAGCATATTCTCGAAGTCGTATATTTATTGCTAAAAGGAGCAATTACTGTTAGCGTATAAACACACAAACTCGATGGCTTGATTTTAATTTTGGTGCCTTACGCTCTACAAGCTTCCTACAACGCTTAACTTTTAACCACAGAATGCACATGAGGCACACTCACGAACTAGCAGCAACAAATTTGCCGTCAGAGTGCACCTTCCAACTCTTCGACTAATAAAAAGTTCTCTAAACTCACTGGCACTTGTACATTATTAGTAACTATATTTGTACCTTAACAAAGGAAACATCATTACATTAAGCTGAATTGGCTAATGCAAGGGACTTTTGTGATTGTACATGCCTAAACTTTAGTCTCGAATGTTAAGGTGTTCGCATCGTAGATTTGGGCTTACCCTTTAGCCACACTTCATAGTCCCAGCCCCTTATCGATACAACGGGAGAAGCACTACACTTGTAAACGTTTTGCTCTTCTGATAGCAGCGTCCAGCAAAAAATTGTGTCTGGCTTGTTATTGGCGCTCTACCTGTACTGATTGCCAACACAGGCAATAATTTTATACAGTGATTGGGTTCTTAGTGTCCATGTTTTTGGCTCCCTTTGTGTCAGGCACATCTTGGTTCGATGTCAAGTACTTAAATAATATTGAGTTTGTGTTACGCATAATTCGAAGCGTCGACAGTCGCATTGAAAACCAAGTTTGCCAAGCCTTTCTATTCCACTAAAAGATAACCAGAGAGGACAAACTCAGCCACCTAAATGATGCTGTCCCCTAAAATAGGAAACATTGTGGACAATAAGCGCTTTAACAAGCTATTTGACGTTGACGCTTGCGGCACTGTATTAATTACAATAACACGAGTGAACAGCCGATTTTCAGCACAGTCTATAGTAAACTACCTCACACCAGTCTTCTACTACAAAGTGTTTTTAGCTTACATTCTACGTTAGCATCAATCAATAGTCGTAGTGGATCTTAAGGAACCGTGCAACTTCTAGTACCTATCAACCACTCGATGAAAGTGCACGAGATGAACACTGATGAAAACAAATTTTACTAGCCATGTCATATTTCATCATGATAATATGACACGGAAGTCTATAGCAATAGTTATTTACAACCCAGCAAAAACAGCGTCGAAAGAATCACATGAAACACACTCTCATTTTAGCATTTTAAGACACCGTAATTACCTTGACGAAGCTCAATGTCCATCGCCGCCACAGCAGCTGAAAGCGCACGTTAAGCACGCCACGCTCACCGCACGAGTTTAAGCTTTACACAAGCACGAGCACCACTTTTCCATGTCAACTACATCCCACGCAGCGGCTCACGAGTTGTGAACTGCAGCCCGCATTGCAAAACGACAACAGCGAGCGACGTCAGAGACGGCAACCTGCCCAACTCCTCTATCAGTAGAGGATTAGACACCTAATACATATAAACTCTCCGTAGACTGCTAGCTTTCAGCAGCGTAACATTCGTTAACTTGCTGGACCTGAGTCGAATAATAATAAGAAGAAAAAAGCCAAAATGTAATGCCGGTAAGAGCACCTAAGCATAGCATGTTCAAGTTCCTAAGTAGGGGACCCAATCTATGAAGTAGAGCTTTCAAGTTTTGTTAGAATTCATTGGTCGGATGAAAAATTTGTCGGAATTAGTAAAAATATTGTCAATAACTCATAACTCAGTTTATATGGAAGCCGGAAATTTATTGTTTCTCTGAAGGGCACAAAATACTACTATCATACTCCTGAGCTAAGGAAATCATATTTTAGTATAAAACTACATATCGAAGGGGTACTTAGGGTCTGATTGTTTTAACCCTTAGATACAAGAAATAAGGGTGCTGCTCTGAGTGGTGGCAGCGATACGGACGGATATGTGAGGCTCCATCCGCACTAGTCATGAAAAGGATAGAGATCCGTACTAAAAGGAGAAGTATACTGTTATCGATTCATACATTCCAGACTTTCTTTTTTCTTAGAGATTAAATCAATTCTGCCCTTTTTTAAGACCCTCAATCACATTTACGGACCCGGATTTTCCGAAGTTTGTTGTAATAGGCCTAAAGAATATTCAGTATTGTACAACGTTGAGCCTAAATTATGGCTTCTGCATCCTTACATATCTTTTGTTCATGCTAAAAACACTGTAAAGCTCATGGCAACTAATTTACATTTCGTTTCCAAGCAATGCTGCATCCATGGCTTCCTCATTGGCTGAACTACTCTTTTTATCGATCCTGGTGCGGTGCAGCATGTTAATTCACTGCTGGAAGCCGCGACTTTCCACTGGAGAGCCTGCTGGTGTCATCAGGTAAGATAAAATATAGAAGCATTACTTGTTCGCATTGAAGCATCCAATTGACAAGTCTCCTGTTAGCTTGAATTCTGAGCACATCTCGTGCTTCTAGTGGAAGGTTCGTTGTCTGCCATATATTCCAGATCAGCACGCTGGGTTAAACAAGAGAGAAGTTGCTCTGGGTGATCTATTATATGAATTTGCTGGAAGCCGAATTTTGCGAGCACGATTTAGCTCATTTTATATTCTTGACTTTGTGCTGGTAAATCTGAAGCTTTTGTGTATTGGTGACAGTATTTGGGAAATTTTTACACGGCATTTGAAAGGGAAATCGCTATTTTACTGATTGTCAATCTTACAAGAAGAAAACCAGAAATTTATGCAGCTCATAACTCGGCTAAGCCATTAAACTTGTCTCCACCTAGCCTATGAGTTATCCGAGAATGACTTTAGTTAGCATCGTGTAAGTAGATCAACTGATCACATTAAAAAGTATTTGTCTATTAAAACCGACTTTGCAAAGTAAGCCTTAATTGAGCAAACCACGCATTTCTGCTTGGTACAGTAGGACAGTCCGTCGATCTAAAATGACGGTTTTTGGATCTATCAATCTTCCTTTGCTGCATTTTGCGTCGACTTCTGAATCGCACTTGCCTCTACGACCTCTTTTTCTTCGCGGTGCGCTTCGTTACCTTCTGAAAGCCAACATCTTCACCTGCTAGACCATCGCGATTTGTCGAGGTTCCATTAGCAATAGGAGCAGCTACCACCACAGCAGCCTTAGCGCCGTCTTTAGTATCTCTGCAAAGATAGGTTTTTAGTGTAAGTACAGTGTCTTCCAGCTGCTTCGGTGTATGCAGCGCCGAAATAAAAAAGCGCAAACGACACTTGCCCTCCTCAACGGCCGGATACACGATAGGCTTCACGTTGATCCCGTACGTGGCTAAGAACTCGGAAGCCTTGGCCGTCGCTATGGTACTGCCAATCATCACCACGACCACTGGTGCACCACGAAAGGTATTCTCGCCCATCGGGATCATGTGCATCTTGCACAAGTCGTAGAATTTCTTGCTACGCTCCTGCAACGTAATCGTCCGCGACGGGTTTTCCGTCATCAACTGGATGGACCGCAATGCGGCTGAGCCACACGCCGGGGCTAAGCCAACCGAAAACACAAAACCACCGGCGCAGTGCTTAAGATACTCGGTCAGTGTATGCGAGCCAAAAATAAAGCCGCCAACTGATCCCAGAGCCTTGCTCATGGTGCCCATGCGCACGTCAACGTCTTTCGGGTCGACATCTAAATGTTCGCAAATGCCGCGCCCCGTAGCCCCCATAGTTCCAAAAGAGTGCGCTTCGTCGAGGAACAGCAACGCCTTGTACTTCTTTTTTATGCGAATCATCTCGTGCACGTCCGGTATATCGCCGTCCATGCTGTAAATACCCTCAATCACGATGAGCACACGACGGTACTTTGTACGCAGCTTCGACAGCATACGCTCAAGCGCTTTCGTATCATTGTGTGGGAACGGTAGGATGGTGGCGCCGCTGAGGCGTTGTCCGTTAACACACGAGTCGTGGTTGAGCGCATCGCACAAAATCAAATCGCCCTTTGATACTAGCGCATCGATAGTTGTGACGTTGGCCACCCACCCACCGACGAACAAAATACTAGCCTCGGCGTTGAAAAAGGTACTGAGTGCCTTCTCCAAGTCAACGTTCACTTGCGTCTGACCAACTATGGGAGACGAGCTCATCGTCGTGCCGTATTGATCAATTCCATCCTTTGAGGCCGCCGCTACTTCAGGATCCGAGGCATTGCCCAAATAATTGTACGTGTTATAATTCGTCATGCGACGTTTTTCGGGCGTAAGAGTCTCCAAAAAAGGCACACGCAGTCCTGCTTCTTCAAACTGCTTCATTTGTCCAAGAAGTAGTTGAACCTCTGGGAATTTTTCGATTTCAAAGGAACTCTCGTCAATCTCTTCCACTGTCGCAGCAGGCTGCAGCGATCCCACACCATCTACGCTGTCATCTATTTGACCGTCAGCTAAGTCACCAGAGGCCAACCCAGGGGCATTTGCGAGCTTAAATGGGGTGTCGTACTGAAAGAATGCAGAGGGGGAAACGATGCACCCAAGGAACTCTCCCAAATCCGACGACAAACCAACGATTGCCACCGAATCCATTCCAAACATGGCCCAAGGAGTGTTAGGGTCAATGTTGATAGAATCGCTCGCCATTGATCCAGCATCATTTGTTGCCACCACTTTAGTCTCCTGCGCCACATTCTCCAGCAACCAAGCAAGAATCTCATCAGGCGTCTTCAGCTGTCCAGATGACACCACTTCTTTTACGGCCTCTGCTGTTACTGGGGCGGACGAGGCGTTTGTGCGGCTTGCTTTCGCCTTGAACTCGAAAAGGGGCTTAGCGAGTGTGCCATCTAGGTACTGCGTCCTTGAGGCGCTGCGCTGAATTTTACCGCTTGTGGTCTTCGGTATTGTCTTTTGTCGAAGCAGTACAATACCTTCACATTTCAACTGATGCTCCGTAAGTACCGTCTTGACAATTTCACGGCAAACTGCCTCAAGCATTTGTTGCGAGCACCCATTTCTCACCTCTGCAACAACCACAAGCGCCTCCTCGTCATCTTTTTCGATAGAAAAAGCAGCGGTGCAGCCCGGACGAACATGGGGGTGAGAGTTTTCGACAGATGCTTCAACATCCTGCGGGCACACGTTGCGGCCTCGTATAATTATCAAATCCTTTAGACGACCGGTCACAAAGAGCTCACCCTTACAAAGAAACCCCATATCACCAGATCGCAAATACGTGTCATTTGAGCTTTTCGTGCCAGCAAGCTGTGCACAGAACATCTCCCTGGTGCTGCCAGGGCGATTCCAATAGCCAACGGCTACTGACGGTCCCTGCACCCAGATCTCGCCAACCTCCATCTCGTCAAGCAGTTCTTTCGTACTCGGGTTCACAATCAATATTGTGAATGTCGGCATGGCTTTCCCGCAGCCTACAAATTGTATAACACCCGTGGCGGTGCGACTATTTCCTTTTTTACTGCCCACCACAACAACTCGGTGCTGTGTCTCCAGCACGCGCTTATTAACATCCAGTAGCGTTGGCTTCTGAGGTGGATCTTGACCAGTGCACACCAAAGTCACTTCTGCCAACCCATAGCCACAATTAAACGTGTCAATGTCAAAGCCAGCAGCTTTAAACTTAGATGCAAATGCTTCCAACGACTCCCGACGAATTGGCTCAGCTGCGCAAATGGTATGCTTGAGTCGACTCAAATCCATAGCCGCTGCCTGCTTGTCACTCGTCTTTCTAGCCGCAAGCGCGAAGCCAAAGTTCGGTGCACACACGTGCGTAGCTTTATACTTGCTAGCTGTGCTCATCCAAAGCGATGGGTCCTTGATAAAGCTGATTGGCGACATACTTACACATCTCGCACCCGTGACGCACGGTGTAATAATAAATCCAACCAAACCCATGTCATGATAGCTCGGCAGCCAGCTCACCATGACATCCGTCGGTTCAATACTTTCCCACGTCTTGAGCTGCGCTTTCAAGTTGCCATGTGAGATCATAACAGCCTTTGGAGCCGAAGTGGAGCCCGAGCTGTACTGAAAAAACGCAACGTCATTGTGCGTCAGCGATAGTGCATCTTCCTCATCGTATTGCGCGACGAGCGAGTCCGGCAGACTGTCAGTAGTGAGCCACTGCAGGTGGGCCGGCCACGATGTCTTGGCTGCAGAGAAATAGCCTTTCACTGTAGCCATCTTGCTTGCAAGATGATACGTCGTGTTAGTCAGTACAATAGCAGCACCCGAGTCTTCAACGAGGCGATTAAATTTTGGCAAATCTTTGGCCAACGTGCCAGGATACGGAGGGTACACTGGGATCCCCACGACACCAGCATACAGACAGCCCCAGAAAGCTAAGGCAAAGTCCAATCCTGGAGGATAGCACAGCATCACGCGGTCTCCCTTCACAGCTTGTGCAGTGCGCTGCAGTGCTGCAGCAACTTTACGCGCGGCTTTATCGACATCGTCAAAGCTTAAGTTGACAGTCTCGCGCCCCAGATCGTCCAGAAAAGTGTACACGATTTTGTGGCGCCACTTGATCGACGCGGCACGGCGCTTGAGTTCAGCAACAACTGGCTCCATATTGACAGCTACGCCATTGGCTACAATCACCGGATGCTCGATAGCTGTAGAGCTCTTCTTCCGACGCTGTTTCTTACGTGCTTGCGAAGCTACAGACTCCTCTTCCTCCGGCTCGTCACGCTGGCGCTTAATGCGGTGCACACCCAGAGCTGCTGCAGACGCGACGGCAGCAAGGGACGCTGCTGCGGCCGCCAGCACGCCAACTGTCACGTCATTAAGAGCGTTCATTGAGGGCAGAGCCAATCGAGCAGCTACTCGATCACGTGTGTGGCTCAAATCGCTGCTGTCTTGCAATGGTGACTGAATTTCAGCCAATCCAAAGACGTCAACTGCTAGCTCCCCCTAGAATAGCAGAACAACTCGTTTTTCTATAGTCGACTTAATCTCGACATCTTTTCCGTTGTTGGTATTCATACTTTTGTCAATTATTTCTGCATCAGTGACAAAGGCGACGAGATGAAGTCAAAGTTTGGTGATTGACTATGGAGGATTTGATGTGTAAGAGGAGTTTATGATCGTCTGCGGATAACTTGACGATTGCAGGATACTTACCTCGTCCTAACCTTGGAATTGCGCGCCGATTGTGGTAATATGTCGTGACTGAAGTCCGTGTGAGCCGAGTCGTTTCTCGGCTCATGTTAGTATCATGCGAACGTGCGAGGAGCTAGGCTCCATGTACTGCAATCACTGCTGGTCGCTGTTTTAGACGCTAAGCCGAAGAATTGGGCTTTTCCATTGAATATATCCGCAATTTGTGAGGCCCATTGATGTGCTTGACATTTGGAGCTTGTACGAACCACATGCGTTATCATTAGATTCTGCGGCAATTTTTTTTTGCATACAACCGTGCACACGCAGGATAAGTACTTGGGGTATCAGTATATCTTGACTATCGACAAAGTGGCCTAAAGGCTTGTACATCCACTAGAGTCCCATGACCTCGCCATTTCAATGTCATATACATGGCGTCGGAATCCTGCACTTTTTACAAAGTCTAAAAGGGTGCATAGTTTCGTTGCACCCTTTGCATTGTAGTGTCCCCTTCATTGCTAAACAAAATGGCGACACGTTTACTTTTCAATCACTGTAGGGCTATCGCACAAGGACACGCTCTCTGCGGGATCAGCATGAGATCTGCCACTTTGCCCGTCAGTGGTCATGTTAAACTTATGATCGGGTAAATACCAGGTTATTTTTACTTATTTATACGAAGGAGGTGGTCCATATTTCTAATTAGCCGTCGAACCGCTAAAGGTCGAATGCGCGATGCATTTTCCAGAAGATGCAGACATTGATAGGAACTCCTTAGTACATTATTGTACGATACTGATTATCTTCCTTATCAATACCTTGATAAGGTGCTGGGTACTGTGCCAGCACGCATGTGTGGCTTTTACGCGTGCCAGCGACACGCTTTTTCTTTAGTTAATCCTACCCCCGATGAGTGCATCTTCTTCGTGGACACGGTATCGCATATGAAAGGCCTTGGCTGTTCGCACATATCATACATCAAAGCTGTTACAGCACGTCGGTGGGAAGCCCGCGTACAAGGTGCCTGTGTTCAATTTGAACGAGCCCTTTCCCAAAACTGTTGTCATCAATGGCAAGTTTTGTATACTCTTCGCTGTCCCGACCAGTGCAAGTGCATATTGACAGATTTTACAATCCTGTTGCTACATTTGATGTGCGAATGGCTCATAGGGTAGTCTCCTTTTCCACCAGCATACCTCAGTTTATCTATGACCGAGACTTTCGCTCGATGGGCTGGCAGCTTCTATCATAGATCATATAATACAGCGAGGCGGGCCCCACTCTGACACGTGGACCTCAATTTTTGTATCCATTCGAAGTATTTAGTACAGTTAAGCGTGGTGCGACTCTTGCTTCTTGCAGCAATCATGAAATAGTTTAAATGCGAACGTCATTACTTTTGCTTAGGTGGCTGATACCACTTCGCTAGTCTGTAATTCTTTATCGTACAGCCGAGCTTTTCATTCATCGTACCACTGCAAAATCAAAGGTGAATGTTCAGACGTGTCATATACGATGATGAACAAGTATTGCGTCATCACAATGGCCGCGCGCTTTTACGTGGCAACTAAATTACGTGACCACCGGTATGAGCTTTATGTACTTCTGTTTTTTGAATTTCCATTTGTAAACTAGTCCACCCTTTTAGTGAGTACGTCTACAAAAGAGTAAAATGCTGGAGCTCTGAATGGCACTATTATCTACCCGTTCATGAGCTTACAGCAACTCGAGAGGCCCATGTGGTACTGCAGCTTTTCTGCACACGCTAAAATGATACTGAATCTCGTTCACTTCACGCTTTTCTGTTTGTGACTAACCCGCAGAGCTTGTGACGAGGTAACGACATCAGTTGTGTGGCTCGTCTATTTCCGTCTCGCTTGTAGTACTGTTAAACCACATATACTTCACCCAGTGCTCGCTCCGATGTCCTTGAAGCCAGCGATTTGTCTTGAACCCTAGCGATCGTATTGAGCACATGTAGCTGACAAGCTTTAATTGCTAATGTAGCTGACCAGCTTCAATTGCTAATTTTCGTGTAGCTCCACAAAGTGTACTGGCAATTACACAATAATAATAGTCGTGGTATCCCGGTAAATTTATGCGGACGAAGTGCTCACAAGGATGCATGACTTCATTTGTTTTGCTTTTTACAAGAAGAACATGATTTATAGCTCAGATTCAAAGGGTACGCTAACTACCTGAACATTCCCTGGACCGCACGACTCTAGTTACACAGCAGTGTATGTTTACGCCCATTAAAGACATCATCGGTACACCTTGGTTAGCAGACGGGGTCCTACTTGGAGCTTACCCACCCACTGATTAGATAAAATAAAGCTTGTGCGTTTGTGATGTGAGCCCACCCACGTCCACCTATTATTTTTGCCTAGTTGGTTTAGTACAATAATGTACAAATAAGTCTCTTACAACGAAATGAATATTGGGAAACGAAAACTACCCACCATGTTATCGTTAGCCACCAACCACTCCTATCTATTACCCTAATTGGTTACTCGGTTTACGCCTTCTGATTGGTAGGATTAAGACACCCACCACCAGAATATACATTACCGTAATTTACTCGATTTACGCCTTTTGATTGGAGGTATTGTATACATCACCGTCGAAAAGTTCATCTTTCCAAACTCAAATTACATACCGCTGTATCAGATAAATAATCTTCTTCATCCCCGTACTCGTCAATAATTTTACCATAATTATTCAATCATCGTATCGCGGAAAAATCTTAGCATAAGAAAGCCACGCAGTTGTTTAACCCTGTCGACCTCGACTCCTGGATGCAGGCAAAACCTTCTCATTCGTCGCTCGCAATAGTAACCTTGTTGAAGCCACGCTTTTTAGTATTCTTTACATCATCAGCGAATACACAGGTCTTGGTTCTCTTTTACTTCATTAGCGTCGAATAGTGACCCACTCAATCGCTTTTTCACACGCACATCGTCCAGTCGCATACCAGAGCCCCGCCGCAAAGTTTCTTTTCACAGCAAACACAGATTAGCGCCATAATAGCGACCTACACGTTCTTCTATCCTTATGTGACAACGACTATCCTCTTCCATGATATGTGCGCTTTATTCTTGCATTAGCTACGCGGGCCTTACCTTGTAGTGCCTGCATCTGACGACAAGTGCCGTACGGTGGTTAGACGCGATCGATTTGCAATAGCACCGGGTAATTGTACTTACTCAAGTGGAAACAATTACCACTGCATGTTGCCGCTACTACTTGCTGGTCGGGTTCCATTGTAATTTGGAGGGAGTAGCCGCATCATAAATTGCTACACGTCGCCGACTTATAGACATGTACAAAATACTCAGATCTAGTATTTTTGACATTTGTCATGAGATAGTAAATTACTTCTCCAAACAGAAAATTTTTCAATCCATCCAATCAGAAGGCGTAAATCGAGTAAAATACGGTAATATATAGGGGTGGTGGGTGGTTACCGTTTCTAAAAATTAAGTTATAGTAATTTATAGCGCAAAATAAAATGTAAGCTCGGGAAAGTGGGCGTGGGCGCCTAATTTGAAACTTTGGTAGCTGATCATACCTCAAATGCACCTGTTCGAAAAACGGCTTTTCGTCTCGAGCTCATGCTTTACAAACGTGAACTCGCCTTAGCATTGAAACGACAGGTGCAGTTTTGATGCTATCATTAACTCATTCCGTGGCAGGGGAAAGCAGCGCATCAGCGCCGTCTCAAGTGTAATATCCTGCAAACGACCTCAAGAAATAGTTAGTTGAAGTATTGTAACCAAGCAACTTGATCTCTGCCATGAGAGCGTCTCATGTCGGTATTTCGTTCAGTTTTGCTCTTTTATGGATTTTAGACACCTGACAAAGCATGCTAAGTCGCTTGAAGACGCGCGCGGTGACACCTCATTTATCTGGAATATTCGGAGCGCACCAATAAGTGCTAGTCGCTATCTCGGATGTACAAATCTATTAGCTACCGACATACCGCCACCATTGATGCCAAAGGAATCTCGTCTTCTGCAGAGATTTCGACGACTCGAACCGGGTCCGCGGTTATCTTTTCAACCAATACGTCAAAGTTCGCAGAGACGACAGTAAGTCGACGACGACGTCTGAATAGGCGCCGTGCACTGAGCTTTAGCATCAGCAGATATTATAATCATGTCGAGTCTGTCTTATTCCTGCGATCATTTGACAAGCTTGCAAGATCAGAAACTCGTCGAGTTCTGCGCCACGAAAGGTGGCGTAGCAGAGACTGCGTTTATGGGGTGAGCAAGCCTTTTCGATAACGTCACCACCAATCACGTAAAATCGCTCTTTATGTTAACTGCTGCTAATTTAATGATCATTGCTTGGCAGCGTCATGACTACAACCGATTGATGCCGTAAAAACGATCAGCAATGCACACTGCACTGATCGATGACTAACAGCAAGAAATAACAGAGCTAGGTTAGCATCGTATCCCATTAAAAATTGCCATGAGACAAAAACATCGAAGTAGCGGAACAAGGCAACGTCGACATGCATTTTACTTTCATTATACGCAGCGCAAAAGGAAATGATAGAAGTTAATGGCCACCCTCCTTGCTCGGCGATAGAGGGATCTCCCTAACTTTCTTCTCTCATCAGTCAATCTCATGTCGTTGTACTTTTTTGTTGCTATTATCGTTTCATAGGCAAGACCAGCAGTGGCCTCTCCTCCCTCTTATTTGGTACCTCTACACGTCAACAGCTCTAATAAGTTTTTACTCACACACAACAAGTACATCAACACAGTGGTTGCATCAATAGCACCTCACAACGCACAAGCCATCCCCTTTCGGCAACTCCGGTCATTTAAAATGGGTGCGTGAATAAATTAGGCCTCTGGACTGGATCGAATAAGTCAAAAGGCGAGCTCCAGAGCTTGCTCCTTAATCATAGACCGCCATGAAACCTCACTTACGTACGGCCATGAAACCTCACTTACGTACGTAGCTGCACATAACCGCTCAACAGCAAATGCTTTTATGCTGAGTGTAATCCCCAGCAAGGAACGTTACGGCAATATTTCGATATGGGTCTGGTACACCAGCGCGACTGCCTTCATCAGCCCCTACACCGCATCGATCTCGGAAGCCGTATGACTCCGAATGTTCAAAGTAGTGTTTTGATATATGCACATTTCAGGCATGGAATGCCTCCTCAGTCAGGAGTGTACGTATACGCAAGGCGCTTGACAGCAAGTACCCACAGCTGCTTCTCTAGCTTAATGCTGGCTTTGAAGTTGCCGAGGCAAAGCTACGTAGACGACCGCGATAAAGACCGAGTCGTTGTAAAGCGCAGAGGCGGAATGATCACGAGGGGATTCGTGGTGCACTCGCAAAAGTTGATCAACGATCCGGACACCTGCATTCCGTCGCTTGCTGACGGAACCAAGCACCGGCGCACGTTATCTAGTCATCGCGACACAGTGCAGTGCTCGAACAGCAGAAACACTGTTTCATTATTCCCCTTGGCCCACGAGGCTTTTTTGCAGCGCAGAGTCTCCATTTCCATGTACACAGTGAAACTGCCACGTCGCAGGTTGAAGTAGGATTAGAAGCGGGCCAGGTGCCGTCGGAATGGTGGACGTCTGGAGTCGAAGCGTTCTGGTGTTTCAGTGTAAATATGCATCGTCTAGTCTCTGTTGCGCATCTCTTGACCATACGCAATGCGATTGGCTCGTAGACCCCCGAGTTATCCACGTAGATGCTTCGGCGATACCTCAGTGGCTACAGCGGACCTCAGCTAATCCAATGACTTGAGGCGGGTGGGTACGGTCGAGCATTTGCTAATGCTGTCACTTTGGCATTTGGCTCGACATTCGCACGCTCAGTGAGGCTCAAGCCATAACCTTCGATCGACTGGCTGGCCTCTACCACCTCGTAGTAAACACGATCAACAAACTTTATTTCGAGACATGGCTGCCAAGACCCGATTGGAATTCATTCTAAATCCCGTAGAGGGTCCACCATCGACTCTACTGCTGCCATCACGACCCACTTCCTTCAACCGGACTTCCGGTACATTGAACGCTGCAATTGGCTGGCACCAAGGGCAGACTGATCTCGGCTCGCAATGCAAGCGCGACATCCATCCGCCATCCACTTTAGTCAGTCTAATGCCCTGCAAAAGGATGCACACAATACTGCCATTGACGACCGTCACGTCCCCAACTGCAGACAGCTGCACGTCAGCAGCTACGAGCTCTGAGAGCGAGCATTCTGACCTAGACAGCCCCAGCAAGACGCCGATGGTACTAACGAAAACGGCACATCTTTGTCAAGAAGAGGGCTGCAAGAGTCTTGCAGTGTCACGGCGGAGCTGCGTGCGCCACGGCGGTGGCTCGCGCTGCACCTTCAAGGGCTGCACCAATGGTGCCAAGCTCCGGAATCGCTGTTTCCAGCATGGTGGCTCCACTACTTGCTTGGCTGCTGGCTGCAACAGCAAAGCCAAGCGCTACGGCTACTGCTGGTCGCATGGCGGCGGTCGGATCTGTAGTGTCGAGAGCTGTGACAAAGTAGCGGCTCAAGGTGGGTCATGCTGGGCTCACGGTGGCGGCAATCGCTGCAAGGTGGAGAGCTGTCGCAAGCGCTCGTACCGGAAGTATGATTACTATTGCGAGGGCCACGCTTGCTGCAACCTGTAACTCACACGTTGTGACTATTTATGTCATTCTTGATAACGGTTGATGTGAGGAGTCTCGTCTTCGTTAAAAAAGTGGGTTGAGGCTCGTTTCATCTGTTGTATGTCCTATCACGGTTTTAACACTGCGCAGGAGTGAGTTATCCTTCGATATCGGAACAACTAGCGGCGCCTGATCATCTTAGAGGGGTGCTAGCAAAACGACCAGCTCCTACTCCATTGCAATGGATAAGCTTTGAGTCAGAAGAACCCAGTGACGTTTACATACAAAAAGGGGCAGCACTCAAATCGTGTAGCGTTACATGCAGAAGAATGTCCCTGGGCTAATAAGCAGTGTATTGTTTGCTTATAATGGTAGTTTGACATGACTGACGCTGTTTTCCAAGTTCTACGCGTCTAGAATTTCTCCTGACGTTCTACCTATAGCTTCAGCGATACCTACTTGTAGTGCGTGGCGACCTCTCGGGGCAAACTTGTTGTCAACAGCGCGCTATAACGGTCAAAATCTCAACCTCGAGCTCAGTCACTTGGGTGCAAAGGGGCCGCGGACAGGTAATTTGTAACTCTAATGACGGTGTATAGAAGAGTTCATCGGCGATACGTCGTGCTGATCTTTACATGAAGCCTCCCGTTTATAGAAGCAGTGCCCGGTGCCATTCATCACCATGTCCACTTCGGATCGACTAAGACGACAAGTACTCGGACGCTAACAAAGACATCAGGGGCTTGCTGCCAGTCTGCCGAATGATGCGCTGCATGTCCCGTAGAGCGGATTTGATCACAGGCAAGAGCTCGCACGTATGCAATATTCATGTCTACACACCTTTGAACCGGATGACAATGCAAAGCACAGATCTCCACTGGCTGCGACTCGTGCAGCGGTGGCTTCATTTGCAACGCGTGGTAATGGTGCCAAGTTCGTCCATTCATGCGATTAACTAAGTACTGAAAATACCAAGAAGTGCAACCCGAAAATCGGGTCGACGACGTTTAGGCATTCCGAGGAGCTAAGAGCGAGGGCAATGACGGTCAAAGACTAGCCGACCCGAGCCAGGTTCGAGCCCAGCTTTCAAGCGCTCTCATTGCATCGCTGCCCGATGTAGCAGAGGATGACAAGGCACCTAGAAAGACGCCCGATAGACTCACTGGCCGTAAACACGGCCAGTCGACATATAGTTCACGACCGCCGAAGCGGCAGCACGTGACGAGGGGAAGCTGCCGATCTTGGTGACTGCCCCTGTAGATCCCTTGATCAGACGTGGGCGTATACCGAAGTAGTGACGCGTGGCGCGGGGACGCCACCGATCGTTGACCTCCGCGTGTCCATCGCGCGCAACCTTAGGCTGCGCGTAGTATGCCCAATGCAGACCCCTTCAACTCACGTGTCCCGTCTTCAGCTTGTCGTGAGTGTGTCGCAGATTCATTCATTCATCCACATCGAGAAGACCTCATCGCTTGAGTGAGTCTCAATGGTGCCACGTTTAGAGTCCAGTGCACCGAATGACTCGGTAGTCCAGTCAGCCAACTCACATTCACCTGTTCACGCACCTACATCGGCTCACGCATTGCAAGCTGCTCGATCAATGATGATGATGGCATTGAGTAGTAATTCAAGACCTCTCGATGAAACGTGCCTGCTGCTTACTATGACAGCTGCTGATCAAGGAAGCATGGTGCGTCTGGAACATGGTCACAAACTTCTGCCGAATATCTCTATCGACCATCAGCACAGCATTTTAAAGGAGACTGGGCTCGAAAGAGCTGGCAACCAGTGCATTGGCCAACGCATGGATGAGCGGCGTTCAAATCCTTGTATGTGGTATCGCAGAGTCCGTGTGCACACTCTGTAGTCAGGCGTACGGAGCGAATAATTATCGTCTCGTGGGTGTCTGGCTACAGTTGGCACAGCTTTTCCTTGTGGTGTCACTTCCTGTCTTGTTCTCGTTCTTTATCGTGAACCGCATCTTAAGCGTCGTGACAAATCGTGGTGACGTTCTAGGACTGGCTGAAACGTATGCGAGGTTCTCGACATTGAGTGTCATTCCGCAAGCGAGTTACTGTGCTTTGCGACAGCACTTGCAGGCTTAGGAGATTGTCTGGTCTGCTACAATCATCAATATCGCTAGCATTACAGTGTCGCTGAACTCTACCTACTCTTCATCTGCGGTTGTGGACCAATTCATGGACTCGAATTCATCGGCGCACTCACTGCACAAACCGTGTCGTCTATCTTTCAGCCAGTAGCGCTGGTGATCTACGCGTTTTTGGTACAACCAATACTACTAAAAGACGTGGCATGGCTTTGACTTGACTGCATGTTAACAGTTGAAACGCATCTACACGTTTACCTGCCTGTCAGCTGGGATGACGGCAAATCTGGCATTGGACGAGTGGACATACAATGTCATCTTGACTTCAGCAGAATATCTGAATTCGCGGAAGTTGGCCGCAAATAGTATCTTGTTCAACTTGTGGTGTCCTATCTGTGAATATTATTGGGGCTTTGGCTCACCCACACAAGTTCGGGTAGCGAATTACCTTAGATCTAATTGTCCATAGGTATCAGAGCGGACACTGCACGTTGAACTCGTCGATTGGTTCGATGGCTTTTGTATCGGGTTGCTCACTACGCGTTCTGTGACTCCATCGCATTCTTTTTACTTTCGATTCAGTCGTGAGTGCTGCCGTCACTAGCACGATGCCGATCTTTTGCGCCGCCGAATTTATCTCTGGTCTGCATGGAAGCATCTTGGCTGTCGTAGAGGCCATGTCACTCGCAACGAAGTCGGTAGTTATCACGACGATCGGCTCCTGGGTTGTCATGCTGCCAGCCTCGTACCTCCTGGGTATTATTGGGACGGCGGGCTGCACGCTGTATGCTGGAAAAGGGTGTGCGGCGAGGCTGTTACTCTGAGTCTAATGACATTCGCATTGTGGCATACTGATTTGCGCAAGATTTCTCGTCTTGCAATGATCCAAGTGGAGATGACGTACTGACTGATGAAAAGCTTAGGAAGACTAGCACGTGTGATCACATTTGATCTGGTATAACATCTATGCTGGCTCAAACATGTACATGTTTGTGGCACTTTACGCTCTACCGCCACCAGAACTAGGCCTAGTGGAATGCGAGATCTAATGCGCAGCAAGTTTTTGCACAGCGTTGAAAGACGCTACATCGAAGCCACAAAGCGGGTAGTAGTAAAGCTGGTGAAGATGCTTGCGCTAGAGTGCGAGTAAATTAAGGTATGATCTGCATGCGATTAAAGTGTGTGTAACAACGCATTTAATCATTGTGACAGGCACGGTTGCCGCCCACTTCTTACTTAAGAGTGTGCACTTACGTCGTACCACCTAATTCTAATGATCTGTGTATATCAAGGCCAATATCCACGGACTTCAACCTGCAGCTACAATCGCTACCCGCCAGTCAGTCGGGTTTTCCGTCGTTGCGTCGAATCGCATAGCGTTTCGTCTTCTCTTTTTGACCACTTCTGAACGACTTCTAGCACTAGGTCACTACTTTAGTTCCAACCGACATTGTGTGTTGCAGTCGGACATGCGGTATAAGCGTGTATGATACAAGCAGCAATACGGTCACTCCAGTAATGGTAGACACGACTGCAAAGCTTGGGACCTCGAGTGTCTTCACTGACAATAAATGATTTATTGGAGGTAATGCCCTACTAGTCTTTGATCATTTGCATCTTTTCAAAACTTGATGACGTAAGCATCGCCCGCAGCTTGAGGGAATTATTAGTCTCGCTTGTAATTTTTGGTAAAATCACTCCTTTCGTCTTTCGTTGAGCAAATTTTCAAAAACAGCCATTTCTGATTGGTTAGTGAATGGGTACAATCCACCCGTTTGTCATACTATATGTCATACGGTACCATCACTCTTATACGGAAAATCACGATTGATCACACACCTCAAAATTGTACCTGGCATGGAAACTTCCACACATTTCTCATCTCTGGCTCGTATAGTACGATACCTTCGGACAAAATAAATCATTGTCTACACTCGCGGTATGTCTGACACAAAAGTATAAAATGATTCAAAAAAAGCGTTCAAAACTTATCGAGAGAGTAGGTGAATGAGTGAGCTTCATTAAATTATTATTTTTAATCTCTAATGGCAGGTTGGGAGTTTACATCGCCACTCGGTGGTAGGTGCGTGTTTCGCTCTACATAGAAGATTCACGGTCGTAGTGATATCGGGACGAGTGCAGTTGGAGATCTACAGTAGTGACCCCATAACTTCTTGGTAAAGTCGCTTGTTCGAATAGAGGTTCGAATTTGGATCGCGTAACTTGTGTTTCTCTTTCATTGGCGTCGAAGGAGTAGTACAATTAGTCATTTCGAGCTTGATGAGCAAAGTATCAACGTTATGCTATCGTTGAAGAAAGTAGCTGTAATGTGTTGTCTCCACATTAATATCGAGGTACCTGCTGATCAATCCCAAATCATTGATGTCGAATTTATCGTGAAGCATGTTGCATTAAAGTCTTGGGTAGGGAGTCGTCCTGTGCAATTACAATGACATCGTCGACGTAAAGGCCGACAAGTGTAGTGCCGAGGGTTTCATGTTTAAAGTAGACGCACAATCCTTGGCAGCTTTGTGTTTACCCGCACTCAAAAAGAAAGCTGTGGATCAAGTCATTCCAAAGTCGTCCGCTCTGGTTCCGACCGTAAAGACACCACAGCAATCGATAAACTGTTCTTTTACCTGAGGATCCGTGTAGTGGTTTCACGTAAATTTGACGATCGATCGGTGCACGAAGATAGGCGTTAGGAACGTCCCCATGGCGAATTGTGCAACCCCACTGGGCGCCAAGAGTATTAACAAATCGCGCGCTTGTCATTTTAAGTACCGAAGAGTATGTTTCGCTGAAATTGATACCATATCGTTGGGTAGATCCTCTTGCCACGAACCGGGACTTGAACTTGCCGAGTTCTCCCATCGATTTGTATTTGATCTTGAAGACCCATATTGTTGACACGACCTTGGCTCTAGGTGGTGGAACCGCTCCCTCTTATGTACTATTCTTAGGCAACTAGTCCAGATCTCGAATCATAAATTCCCTAAGTTGTGTCCAAAATGGACTAGCCATTGCTTCGCGAATATTTTGAGAATTCGGAACACCATCAGAAATATGGAGGGCCATCATTGCTGCACCGGAATTTACTGGTAACATCGAGAAGAAGCGACGCAGATAGCTCGAAGTCTTTGATGGGGAGTTGGGCACCGCGCTTGTGGACACCAAATACACCATCGATTTGGCACTTGGTTAGTGTGATGTCGTCATTTGGTTCACAAATCTTATATTCATCGTCGTTGTCGCTGCCTGAAACGTCACTGGTTTGGTCAAGATGCTGGATGGATGTAGGCTGATCGGATTACGTCTCTCCCTCAGACATTGACGTGATTTTGTGAAGAGCGGCGGTGGTAGCGGCACGATCAAACATTTGCTGAGTCTGGGGCTTAATCGTGCTAGGGCAGCGTCAAGTGTATTAAAGGAGTCGACGAGGTCACCAGCGGCATCGATGTCAACGCACTTGACATTTTGTATGTTGGAGCTGGTCAAATGCGTCTTGGTACGTGATGTATAGAGATTGTAGCCATTGCTAACGGCGTAGATGCCCAGAATAAACGCCTGTTCGGAGCGTTTTCGAAGCGATTATGCAACAGAATGCTCTAGTTTTACAGTGCAGCGGTCACCAAATTTGAGCAAGTGGCTAACGTCGGGTACTTTGCCAGTAAACACTTCAAGGGGTGAGCGGCGGACTGCATTAACTCGGGTAAGGAGATAGTTTCGCATTGTGCTGGCGTAGAGAATAGTATCCCCCAAAATTTTGTCGGCGTACTAGATGACCAAAGCATTGCTCGAATCGTGATAAGCAGCGTACAAAGGAAGTGCTCGGCTTTGCCATTCAGAAAAAAAGTATCCTTTTTGGTTGTCTGGCTTAGGACATCGTGACACTGCAAATATCGGCTCATATTGTCTTTGACAAATTCACTACAGGGATCCGAACGAACGCATTTGACTCGAACACCAGATTGCCGCTGAATATGTGCATGAAAATTTTTAGAAGTTGTCGAAGGATTCACTCTTGGTCTTCAGCAAGTGGACACAATTGTATCCAGCAGCATATTCAACAATGGTGAGTACGTGCTTGTGCTCCTTCCGGTCGACTGGGGAGATATTAATCTTAAGGTCTTAGCCGATGACAGCACCAACCTCGTCTGTAGGAGCTGACCTAGAAGTGTCTTGTTTTCCTTGTCTGTTGCGAGTTTGCTTAGCTTCAGCACACTGGATACAAAAATGCATAGTTCGATTCGTCAGCTTGATTCCGGCGGCAAGCCCTTTGTCAGCCATACGAACGACAGCTCTATGCTTGCTTGAAGTGCGCGAGCCAACGAGTTTTGAGCAGACTGACTGATAGTTTGTTGCTTCATTATGGCTGCTATGGTCTTTACATGCTCGTAATAGATACGTTCGTTACGCTGTGAGAGGCGAGTAATTTCTTGATAAAGTCGCTCCGCGACTACTTGATGTTCTGCACAACAGTTGATAAGTGCTACTTCACTATGTTGGTCGGTCCTTTCAATTTGTTTTTGTAGTACTTGTAAGTGTTCAACCAATGCTGTATTTGCTGCAGTCACCTCTGCGCTTTCATTGTCGAGATATGTGTTAGAATGGATGCGTTGGTTCGTAATGTCTATAAATAGGCTTGGAACGGTGTTCGATAAGTTGATTTACTGTATCTTGGAGTGCATTTCGCTTATCTAGGACTGTCGTGACGTCATGCTGGAAAGTTTTTAGTAGGTTGTGGAGCTCTTTGATTGTGATGAGTGAGGGTGCCGACTTGTTATAAGGTTGGAGTGACAAATTGTTGAAGCATTGTCTTCTCCAGACACCGTTTGTTTGTTGACTAACGTGGCTTGCATTTCGTGTGAGAAAGTAGCAATTATGGCGCTGGCTTCAATAACAGCGTTTGTTGCGCTCATAAGATTCTGTTGTATATGTGGAACGGATGCGAGCTCGATTGTTTGAAGCAGACGCGCTACAATCATCATTACTGATGCTGCCTCAGTGAGCGCCGTTGGACCGCGAGTGTGAGAGATGTGTGTTCTTTTCTTGGCTCGCTGATGTGATACTGATAACGGAGGTATCTGATGAGGCAGGGCTGGATCGAGTGAGATGGATCTCAGGCACAGGAGTGTCATCGTTATCGACCAGCAGGTCAATGATGTTCTTCCTTAAACTCTTAACAGTGGTCTTTGGCTCATAACCAGTTGGAACAGGACTCTTGATTGAAGAAAGAACGTGTTTTGTTCCCGTGAGTGTTCAGGCATGGGAGTATCATCGTCATTGACCAGCGGGACCTCGATGTTCTTCGTTAAACTCTAAAAAGTGGTCTTGGGATCAGAACCAGTAGCAGAGGACTCTAGACTTAAGAAAGAACGTGTATTATTCCCGTGAGGGACAAATTTAGAATAAGATGTTTAGTAGTGCAGTTGTGTTGATCTGCTTGTACTATGTAATGATTTAATCCAAAAGCAAGCGTCATTAACCTAGTCTTCAGCCGGGACAAACGGGATCTGTCTGCGAAGGGGGGAGTAAAAGCAATTAATGTGCTGCTTTCGAGAACAGTAACTCCTGCACATCATTGTGCAGATGTCTATAGAGGTCCGCTATGAGCGTACATTTATCATGCGCACAAAACTGCTACAAAGCTCGCAAATTTGTGGCAGCTTTTGCAGCCCTGTCCGCAATCTCGTTGTGAGCACGGTAGTGACACGTCCAGCTGCCTACACATGGTACATCCGCATACCGCCGCGCTAGGTGGTAGTGTTGAAGATCGGGATGAAGAGTCAAGATGTGCGGCAGGACATGTCAGATCAAGTTGGTGTCGGCGACTGTTTGCATGTGTAAAAGAGGACAGTCGACAGATGAAGGGGCTGCAAAGATGGTTGAAGAAGCTTGCAGTTGCCAAGAGACAGGAAGCGCGTCATCGGAGTGGTGGCGAATGGAAGCGCAGCGACAGTAAGTCGACCTAGTAAGAGCGGCAGATACAGAGACATAGTGTGCGAGATAGCGAGAAGAATAGCTAGGACATAACGGCACAGTTTAATTATCAGTTTCCTTTCTACCTCATCAAGTGCAAGCTTAACATTGACTAACAGGTTATGAGCCTAAACCCAATGGCTCCTCCGACTGATGAATGACGACTTCTGCACCTGCAGACCACGGCCACGAAAGGGTCGCCGTTGTTAGCGATACCCAAGCCCACGAAAGGAGTGCGGCGACCGTTGAAAGGATCCTTACAATGTTGACTGCACTCACGGATCGCATGCAAGCGCTCGAGGCGTCGCAGATGCGACGAGGACGAGCGACTGCGAGGCGCAATCGACAGTGGCTTATTTTGCGTCAGCGCTGGGACGCGGCATGGGCGATACGACTCTACATCGTGACGCGCTAGGATATGATGCTCCAAGGCAGCCGCGTAGACGTGTTCACGTGACGCAACCAGGTGACTCGCTATTCCAGCATTTCGGTCCACAGTATGTCGGTCCGCGACAGCCAGCGGGCGCTGCTCGATCACAGGCGCCGCGCTATGCGCCAGTGTGGCCTCCAGATTTGTAAGGCGTTTATGCTCTCGTGCCATCAATGCAGCAGGCACCGATACAGGAGTTACCGTTGTGTGTATCGGACGCACGCCAACGTAAGCTTGCAATTCGCAAGTTTGATGGTACAGAACTGTACCAGGGCCTCGGATCAGGTTTTGCTGACTGGGGTCGCACGTTCTTGCGCCAAGTCACTATGGCGCAGCAGGCCTGCGGATTTGCATGGGCTGAAGATGTCAAGGTCGACTTGCTGGGACACTACCTGGGACAGCAGAGCGGTACTACCAAAAACAAGTGAACGTTTGGTGGCTCGAAGAAGCCTTTCTCGATCACGCTATGGGCCGGTTGCTACACACATTCAAGACTACAATCACGGCGTCGCAAAGCATGAAGCTTTTTACTGCAAGGAAGGATCCCAAGCAATCATGGCCTGAACACTACCTGTTTATGGTTGCGGTATGCGATGCCTGCGATAAAGGTGCCGAAGCACAAGCTCTCGACAACATTGTTCACTATGCGTCGGCTGATCTTACAACAGTTTTGATGGCAAAGTAAAGCAATGACCGATACGATTATTTGCGCCAAGCTGAAGAGCTTGCGCATTTTGCACAGTCTGTTAAACTCGAGAACAAGACCGGAAGGACGTTGGGACGCGAGTTAGCCGCCGCTGTCACTGATGAAAGACGTCGCAAGACGACACCTTCATGCTGGCAAACAAGGTCATTTAAAGATTGACTGCAGGTCAAAAGGGAACGTCAACAAGAGCGCCAAGAACGACGGCGAGGTGGTTCTTTCTGTTAATGACGACAGCGACAATGTAAACGACGACTGGATACTCGACAGCGGTGCCAGTCGACACCTGGTGAACGACGATCGCCTGCTGATCGACGCAGAGATTTGCAACGATGTAGTCTCGCTAGCTGATAACGAGAAGGTCTTTATGTCCAAGGTCGGTAATGTAAGACTCTCCGTGGTTGCCAATGGACAAGAAAACCCGTCAAACTCACGGACGTCTATTATTCGCCGAGTCTGGCCCGCAACATCACCAACTATGGCAAGCTTGATCATTAGAGATACAGTCTTAAGTATTCTAATGGCAAGCGAACAGTAGCTCGACGGAGTGATGACCAAGTCTCGTTCGACGTGACGATGGAAAATAGTGTGCTAATCGTCGAGACGGTGAAAAAGAGTGTACGCAAAAAGGAGACAGCGGATGTTATAATGGCTGCCATTCAGGAGAAGGCAGCAGATGAAATGACTTCGGAGATGCATCGTGGCTCTCTGCTACACTTTCATCCACGTCTGGGGGCATCTGTCGTACGATGCAATTGAGAAGATTTCAAGAAATCCAGGCGCGGGTATCGAGCTGACGGACCACAAACGGATGACATGCATCACGTGCGCACAATCCAAGCAGACAAAAAACAAGCAGAACCAGAAAGACTCTGGACAGAACGCCCCGATCGACCGCATCGGCGGTGTCATTTGCTCGGACCTAAAAGGACCACTAACGCCTGCGGATCGACTCGGAAACCGATATCTGATCAACTTCATCGATTAAAAGACCAACTACTGTCGAGTTTTCTTAGCTTGAACCAAAGACGCTGCGGCAAAGAAGTTTGAGCACTTCTTGATGTTCTTTAAGCGACGATTTGAGTGCAGAATCGCGGTTCTCAGAACAGATGGCGGTGGAGAATACCAGAATGTTGATCTGTTTTGCAAATCGACAGGCGTTGCAAGAAAAGTGAGTGAAGCGCGAAATCAATCGTCGAATGGGAAAGCCAAGAGAATGCACAAGACCGTTTTAAACATGACACGAGCGATGATCTTCGCGTCTGGATTGCCCCTAACGTTCTGGGGTGATGCCGCTGAATACTCCACGTATATTCTGAACAGGAGCCCCACGAATTTGAATCCTTAGAGAGCGTCGCCGCTTGAAGTTCTCACGAAGAAATCGCCGGATTTGCGCAACATCGTCGTGTTTGGCTCCCACTGTACCGTCTACCGTGATCCAAGCAAAAACACGTTCGCGCGCCGAGCTCAAGTGGTCACAGTCGTTGGATGCAGTGACGAAACCAAGGATTTCAGAGTATTCATCAGGAAGGAAAACAAGGTCATCACAACGCAGCATGTCAAAAATATTGAAACGTTGTCTGAAGCCCAGAACAGGCAGCTGCAACTAGCCCTTGATGACGATGACCGGGCCGATTTAGACGAAGGCACCGAGACACCGTGAGACGGAGCAGTAATTTTACTGCGAGCAAGAAGCCCAAGAAGAAGAAACAGTGGACTCGCCAGCCACACGTGACAAGAGGTGCGGCAAAGAAAGCAGCTGCAAGCCAACAAGAAGTAGCTGTCAGCGCAGATGTCGTCAATCACGTGTTCGACAGAGATCCTCGGAACTATGGCGAAGCAATGAAGAGCAAGAAGAGAAACGAGTGGCAAAAAGCAATGCGCGAGGAGCTGGACGCGCTCAAAAGGAACGAAGTGTGGCGTCTGGCGCTCCGATCAAGCAGCAGCAACGTTCTCCACAGTAAATGGGTCTATAAGACTAAGACGACTGCTGATGGAGATTTGGAAAGGCACAAAGCGCGCCTCGTTGCCTGCGGTAATGAACAAGTTTTTGGCGTGGACTACGCGCTAACTTTCGCTGCCGTCATGGACATGACGACAATGAAAGTAATCTTGGCGTTAGCTGCTACATGGGGCGTCCCGGCTAAGCACGGAGACGTCCCCAATGCTTACGTAAAATCAGAGAAGGAAAAACATCTCGAGATTCTGATGCATGTCCCCAAGGGCATGACGATTGATACAAGGGAGTTAAAAGAACTGGGGGCAACGAAGATTGAAGATGTCGTGGTTGATCTGAAGAAAAGTCTTTATGGCTTAAAGCAGGCAGGGCGATTGTGGAGCCAATTGCTTAACAATCGGCTATTGGAAGCCGGATTTACTCGCTGCATCAGCGACCTCTGCTTGTAATACAAGCGCGACATCGATGGAGTCGTCATCGTCGGAGTCTACGTGGACGATTTTCTGGTGACTGGAACATCCGCTGTTGCAGTTGACGGTTTTTTCGCAAGCCTCGAAAGTCTTTCGATTAAAGATCTTGGACCAGTGTCGAAGTTTTTGGGGATGCGCGTGACGCGCAACGAAGATCGTGGATATTTTCTTGACCAGGATGAGGCTATTGTCGACTTGCTGCGTGACCACGGCATGACCGATGCCAACTCAAGTCGTGCGCCTATCGGGACAGATGTTTATGAGGTTCAATGTGCAGACAGCGGACAACTTGCAGACACGGGTGCTCCAGGTCAACCTAGCGTTCGTGCATTTCAGTCTATTGTCGGATCGTTGCTCTGGGTAGCGAGGTGCACAAGACCCGACATCGCATTTGCGGTGCACAAGGCAACCAGACAAACACGAGCCACGGATTCATGACTGGAAATTGGCTAAGGGCATCGTGCGCTAACTGAGTGGCACGCGTAAATTGAAAATCAGCATAAAGCCAGCAGTCGAAGAAACTGCACAACCTGTTATAATGAGCTACAGTGACGCAGACTACGCAGCCGTCAAGGCAGACAGAAAGTCTTTGACCGGTAGCGTTATCGCGCTGAATGGAATGATAATCAGCTGGTGCTTGAAAAAGCAAGGAGGTGTGGCGCTCTCGACAATGGAGTCGGAATTTGTGGCAGCGTCTGAAGCTGGACGAGAGCTACTTGGAGTGAGAGAGACGCTGAGTGAAATTGGTGAGTCGCCTGCACTACCGATGAAAATGCTCATTGACAACCAGGCAGCGATACGGCAGATTGAAGGAGAAGCGTCGTCTACTAAATCCAATCACGTTGATGTGAGAGTCAAGTACTTGTGCGACAACGCTCGTCGAGGCATTGTGGTGCCACAATATGTGCCGAGCGACCTGATGCTTGCGGACGTACTCACCAAAGCACTCGATGCAGTCAAGACGGTCAAGTTGCGTTCACTGCTACACATCGTGTAAGCGCAGTGTAAGTCGCCGACAAGGAGGAGTGCTGAAGATCGGGACGAAGAGTCACGATGTGCGGCAGGACATGTCAGATCAAGTTGGTGTCGGCGACTGTTTGCATGTGCAAAAGAGGACAGTCGACAGATGAAGGGGCTGCAAAGATAGGTAAAGAAGCTTGCAGTTGCCAACAGACAGGAAGCGCGTCATCGGAGTGGTGGCGAGTGGAAGCGCAGCGACAGTAAGTCGACCTAGTAAGAGCGGCAGATACAGAGACATAGTGTGCGAGATAGCGAGAAGAATAGCTAGGACATAACGGCACAGTTTAATTATCAGTTTCCTTTCTACCTCATCAAGTGCAAGCTCAACATTGGCCAACAGGTAGACCCGGTGAATGCGATAATGATGCGGCCGTCGTTGCCGCCTCATTTGCATGATAATCATGGCGCTGTATCCCACTACATGCAGCGATGCTAAAAAGAACTGTGATCGCTCTGCAGACCCCGTGAATGATGCCCCAGTACTCTGCCGTGTTGTTGATCGTGTCAGACTGAGCGTTAGGACATTGTCGCTGCTTAGACTACCTCTGCCCCTTTCGTGACCTTTATAATGCGTACCAGAACCGGACCATACCCATTTGGTCCTCAAAAATCCCGTGAGCCGCTGTATAAAAAGAGAAGATGGAGGGTCCTACTGCAGACTGGTGGCTGGTAAATAATCGACCCAGAATGCTCGACCTGGCTCTTAGGCAGAGTGTTTGTCACGGCTTGCTTCAAAGCAGCTTGTTTACGTTAATTTTACTCGTAATCCAGAATCAAAAGTCGCACAATGGACTTTCGGCCTTAGCATTGATTGTATCCTGCAGCGTGGACTGGTATTCATCTCGCTCGTGGCGAAGACGTAGGTGCGCGCACCAAATGGCTGGACCGTTGTTGCTGCCGTTAATATCCATAGAGTACTAGTCGCCTCAAACGAGACGTCAAGATCTCCTTACCAGACACTTTGAGACGATCCCGTTCTGCCTGCCACGCGCGGGACGGCGTGTCTGTAACGAATAAGCTAAAGGATGATTTGACGAGAACTTCCGGGACGATGTATTTTAGCCTCCGTTATCAGGCACTAAAGTCAACCCACGCCACCTTCACAACCGAGAACTCCCAGAAGACATACTATAGTGTGTCGGGCACGTTACGCAGGTACAAATTGTGCGTACAGGACTGGTCACTGTGCACATAGTTCCAGAGATTAAGCTTATTCGTGTTGATTCTGTAGAGCGTCTGTATCATGGAGGACCCCACTCTTGTCACTGCTCGGACATCACTCGACTCGAGCTGCGCGAGAGAATTCTGCATGTCAATGTTGGTGGCAGACTGCTCAGCTATTGCTCGGTCTATGTAGTGCTTCCCTTCCTTCTCTTGAAGCACTGCCACAACCGCCTTGTCTGTCGTTCACTTAGGGCGCCATCCCGCGCCTATATGTAGGTGTACGAGTCGCTACAGTTAAATGTGTTCGTGACAAAGAAGATTGCGTCTTCCGACGTCGACTCTGGCCTATGTCTCGCAGTCATAGCACAACCCGACTGGACGTGCCGGATATTTTAAAGGAGCTTTCAAGTAATTGACACCGTCTACGTTGTCGGTAAAGAACCACGACCGACGCCAAGACACGCCTGATCCTGTCCGCCGCAGGTGCGTCGTCTCTTGAAGCCTAAGCGGGAGCTCCAGAAGTTACACCACACAGCCTTGCATAATTTCGACACGGCCCGCCGCACCGCCTGAGTGTGGGGCTGCCGTAGCTCAATCCTGATCGTTTCCCATCCATGCCCAGTAGAGGATGTCGCGGAGCTTGAATCATTTGTCTCCACGCCGCAGAAGTCTGATATTCACTGGCCCCCCTATGTCGTAAAATAGCCAATTTTGCGTGTCTAGTAGCACGCTGTCGATCCATATAAGCCTAAAATGCGAATTAGCCGTCGTCGCCGATCTAAAATTAGCGTTAGAGGGCTTACCATGTCGCTATTAACGACTACTTGCAAGCTATCGCTCTCCTAAAGTGCAGTGCATAGATGTCGCCGAAATAGCAAATCCGTTTCAGCCACAAAACAGCATAATATAGATCGATAGTTGAGCAGTGCACGTGACGCACCATGTCCACCCCAATTATCTACATTGTCCGCGACCCGAAAGCCTGCAACATACGCACCCTACCTTGCCGGAGTTAGATAGATGTCAGCTCCCGCTCGCGCTGCCAACAAGATGTTGCCCACAATCCGAGCCAGACCGTTCGAACCTGCTGCATATTTACACACAGCTGTGGCCGCCATCGCAAGTGAGTACATCCTAACAAGAGGCAATACTAGGCCTGCATCGCAAAATTACGACCTGCATGCTCCTCGCTCATACACAGAGGTACTGCTACTGACTTGGAGGTATTGATCACCAGCCCAGAAGCCGCTCCAAACTGCGTCAGTACCTGCTAGACGTCAGCAACATCCTCCGGTGACTTGACGTAGACAGCAGTATCATAGTCGTACCACAGACCTTCACCGGTATCACCTCTGAGTGGATAGACAACCAAAAAGCAGACAAAATGTCATCGAGCAGCTCGTAGAGTGATTTTACCGCCAGTACGAAAAGTACATGTGCCAGCAAGAATCCCTGTCAAATGCCAGTGATGACGTCAAGCAGCTTGGACAGGTAACTGCTCATGATTAATCGGCTTCATGTACCAATGTGCAAAGCCATCATGGCGTACACGAAATAGAACAAGAACCCAAGTTTCCGAAGCGCGGCAACATGAATGCCCGTGGCAGCGAGTCATATGCCTTATAGAAGTTAAGTTTGAGTACCAGCGCGCTGGGGATCTGGACATTCTTTGGCACAGATCTTTGCAGCTGCAAATACGCCACCGATCCTCGACATCTCGCGGCGCAGTACAAAACTGGTATGTAGATGATGAACAAGTGACGGCAGGAGCGGCCGTAGTCGTGATGCAAACACCTGTATTAAATAAGGTGTAGTCAAATATATTAGTGCAATTGGTAGATATTCTAGCGGGTGATCCGCGCTCTTCGGATTCGTGATGCACGAAACCACCGCCTCCTAAAATGTTTTGGAAGGACGTTTACAAGTACGCATACTTAGAAAAACGCGCCAAAGTGGTACGGAGCTGTTCTCATTGTCTCAAAAACAGTCATTGCCCAACTCTTCCGGGCCCGATGACTATTAAAACTTACACCTCCTTCCGAACCCGCTGCATATACATTCCGGTGTTCGCGCGAATGGCGCGGTCCAGCTGTGTTGTAATCCGCTTTATGAGTTGGCGATAGCCGTTCGTAGCAACCCCCCCGTGTATCTTGGGCTGCAATCACTTTTTGCTGGCGCGGCTCGATCTTTGCAGTGTCCCATTAAAACGCAGAAGGGCGTGCTTGTTGCAATGCTGTATGTTCGGAATTAATGCCGGCTTCTAGGTTCGCCGCCGCGCAAGCAAAGAACTCAGTCGTCAACACCTCATACACACTTTAACATATTTAGGGCGGTGGATACACCTGCTGTAACGGGGTACACGGCAATTATTGAACCGGTCATGTTGTGTGTCCACATCAAGTGAAGATCGGTGGATCTGAGTGGTATAGTCTTGGTACCACGTACTTACGGTAATACCGCACCTTATCGGGTAGAGATAAGCGATAAGAGTTCCGTCATTGGATCGCAATGTAGAAGTCAGTCAGACTAGATCATAGGGTTTTGTTATCGTTGTTCAAGAATCAATAAATTTCAGCCCCCCTTTTAAATCGTTGGACATAAGTGCCTAGTAAAAACGTAAGGTGTTGTTAATAGCATTAGCTTTGTAAAGGCGCTTACTTTTGCTTGACTAGTTAGTGTGTGATTTCGTGAAATGTGATCCCTCCGGAACCAAGATTGTTAAGCTTGTACGCTTGAACGACTGTATGTCGTTGTTAGTTTGTTATGACTAAGAGACTCTTTGAGTCAAAGACTTTCTATGTTAAGGAGTGCTAAGCAGCTCTGCTACATCTTGCAAAAATTGAGTATTAACGAATGTGCGATTACCCTGAGCACTCGACAAACGTTCTTTACACGTAAATTTTCGTATGCTTGTGTGTCCACATACTTTTGACCGGGTGCCAAAAGCGATTTTTGAATGTGAACCATGCCACCAACACAAATATGGGGAACTCAACCCATGTGGGGTTTGTAATAAAGCTTTGTTCATGTCATACACAAATAACAGCGCTCAACTTATACCATTTAGCGAGTTATGAGAAAAACAAGCGTGTGAGCTATGAGGAAATGCATTGATGGTCGTAAATTTAAGACTCGGGCTGTATGAATTTAGTCGTGCATACACAAAAGCACATGTGGCCATTATCACACGGCGTACAGGGCATTAGGTGAAGTAGATACGGGATCCGCAAAGTAAGAACTCTCGCAAGACAAGGTTTTCATAACCGCCTGTACGTGCGATCCGGGAAAACCTTATCGATCGCAAAACCTGAGGTTGAAGTTGTTGGTGAAGACTCAGATGCTGGCTTATCGGTTTAGACGACGACGCTAAATGTCCAACTGTGATGCGATACGAGTAACGTCTGATAAAGGGGTAGGAAATATTCCCGCTGGACTTTGTCAGTGTATTGAGCGGTAATTGCCACCTCAGACAATGACCGACCGTAAGCTTGTATACCTGAATCATACATAGGGCTCGCGAGGTCTTACAATAGCTAATTCGGCGATGTTAACGGTTTTCACAGTGGCGATTTTCCCTGCAAAGCGTTATATCAAGTTTCACAATCGCTACCCATCGTCACTTTCACCGTCCAAGCGTTTGCGGGGCAAACGCGCTTCGTGCTCATTCGCCAAAAAGGCGGACCCACGCAGCCTCTATTTCCCCCGCACTCTGACTTGTTTCGAGTATACTGCGAGAGAGTGATTGTCACGTTTCCTTTGCATTGCGCAACAAGGTCGTTCATTCCGCACTGCACCAAGCACGAGTCGAAGGCGCGACGATGTCGGACAGCGACGACGACGCCGTGACGGTTGTCCAGAAGCGGCCAGCAGACGCACACCACCAAGTCAACGACCAAGAGGCTGCGCAGACGCGCTCTGGCAAAGAAACCGACGACGACGAGCAACAAGAAGAAGAAGACGGGGAGACTGTGGGGCGTGGGGGTCGAATCGACGCTTTTTTTCAGCGCAGTAGCCCTCGCACGCGCCGCTCGGCGTCCCAATTGACCGACGAAGCCCTTGAGAAGCCGTTGAAGCGCAAGGCCACGCAGTCGGAGCGCAGCAAGCGCTGGAACCGGCGACGGAAGATCGCTCAAGTGATGGACGAAGCGGATCTGGACGCGAGTACGCGTAAGGCCCGTGAAGCAGAGGCGAAGCGAGCCGAGAAGATTGAAGCGATACTGGGGGGGTTCTCCACCTTGTCGGAGGATCAATTGGCGGTGGCGTCGGATAAGAAGAAGGGGGAAAAGGGAGAAGATAAAGAAGAAGATGAGGGAGCAGAAGAAGGAGAGGCGGAGAAGAAACAGTTGTGTCTGAATCAAGCCACTGGCGAGGGGGCAGTACCCACAGGTGCAGAAGGGACGGAAGACGCGCCTGTGTTTGTCTACACGGACTTGGTGAAGAAGCTCAAGCCGCACCAGGTTATTGGCGCGAGGTTCCTCTGGAGTCATGTGGCGGTCGAACCTGAAGGGTTTGGCTGTGTCTTGGCGGACTTTATGGGTCTTGGGAAGACGTTGCAGGTCATTACGACAGCTCAGGCGTTTCTGTCGAAGCAGACGCTTGATACAGATGGAAAGTTGAAGCAGCGTCATAAACATGTGCTGATTCTTGCTCCGACGATTTGTGTGAGGAATTGGGAAGCCGAGATTGTCAAGTGGCTGGGCAAGAACGAGACGAGACGTCTGGGACTGTTTACGCTCGAGTCGGGTCGAGAAAAGAAAATGTGTGATCGTGTTGCTGTTGTGAAGAAATGGCACAAACGCGGCGGAATTTTGATCATGGGATACGAGCTGTACCGTCTGTTAGTATTGCAGTCGAGCGGTGACGAGAAGATTGCAGCGGGGAATCAAAAGTACGCGCATTTGATCAAACAGGTGTACGCGTGCTTGGGCAATCCGGGACCCGATCTGATTGTGCTGGATGAAGGTCATCGTGTACGCAATCATAGGTCCAAGATGGTAAAGGCGCTCGCTCACGTCAAAACTACTCGACGTATCATCTTGACGGGATACCCATTACAAAATCACTTGGAGGAATATTGGACAATGGTCAACTTCGCTCGCCCCGACTATCTTGGTTCCTTGGAAGAGTTTAAAAATCGTTACGTGGCCCCTATTACGAACGGTCAATGCATTGACAGCTCTGAAGCCGACCTGCGGCTGGCTCGGCACCGAGCATTCGTTTTGACGCGGGAGCTGAAGGCTTTCGTGCTGCGTCGAGACCAACAGTACCTTTTTAAGCAGTTGCCGCCTAAGAAAGAGTATGTGCTAATGTGCAAACTGACTGACGCCCAAGCACAGTTATATCGAGAGTTTTTGAAACAGGGTGTTCCGACTCGTGGCGACTCCGAGCAGGTGGACGTTCTCGGTGGCTACCATATTGCACTAGCTATTTCGAACCACCCCGACGTCATATGTGAAACGTACAAGAAGCTTGAGAAAGAGGAGCATAACGGAGCTTGTCGGAAATCAAAACGTCATGGCGTCTTGGACATTTTTGGGATTGAAGATGGCGGAAACGATTTTGATCCATACAATAGTGGCCCGAGTCACGTTGCTACCAGGTCCAGTACATCTGAAACTTTTTTACTAGCGAAGTCGCACGGTCTGCGCGACATCGACGCCGACATTAATGCCAATGAAGTTGAAGACGGTGAGTCCGCGCTTCCTATTACGGTAAAGTTGGGTAGCACGGCTGTGCCAAAGCCCAAGCGGACACCTGCTGCGAGATGTCATCGTTTGAAATTTGCTCGGCATTTTATGGAAGATTATGTCCCGAATCAGCTTGAATCGAGCGGCAAGATGATGATTCTCATGGAACTTTTGTCAGTGTGTCAGAGCGTCGGCGACCGCGTGATCATATTCTCGCAGAGTATTCCTACACTGGATTCTATTGGAGCAGCAATTTCTAAGCACAACAGGCATCAACGCCGCCACGCAAAACGCTTTAGTTTTTTGCGTATTGACGGAAGTACGACCCAGTCAGACAGATTTCGTCAGATCGCTCAGTTTAATGATCCTGAAGAGGACGTCGACCTAATAATGATCTCGACAAAAGCAGGCGGGGAAGGGATCAACCTTTGCGCTGGAAACCGGATCATAATATTTGACGTGTGCTGGAACCCATGTAACGACTCTCAGTCTATGTGCCGGTCGTACCGTTTTGGCCAAACTAAGCCCGTATTCGTGTACCGTTTTGTGACGATGGGAACGATGGAAAAGAAGGTATATGACTTGCAAATTCGCAAAGAAGGCGTAGCGAAGCGTATTGTGGACGAAAAGGCGACCGAGAGAAAGTTTATGTCGTCTGAACTACAGAAGTACTTTAACATTAAGGAATTTGAGGATTCTTTGTTGTACGCCCAAGGAAAGGTAGCGGTCGACGAAGAAGTAGCGATTAAGCCTATTCCACATGAAGATTCTGTGCTTGTGGACGTCTTGGCTAAAATGGGAGGCATAGCTACTTCTGGTGCTACAACAGTCCTCAACGATGGAGAAAGTACCGCTGCAGAAGTGGTAGATAATAGGAGATGTATCATCGATTGGTTTGAGCAAGAAACAATGTTTGAGGAAGATTTGGATCAACAGTGTACGCCCGCCGAGCAGAAAGAAATTTTGGAGAGCTATACTTACTTTAAAGCGGTGAAAAGACTTCGCAGTGCAGGAGCACATCTCATTAATCGCGAGGGATTGCTAGTAAAAAATTGCGGCTATTGTCGTGCGTTGAACGAGATCTTCCCGACGTCGACCACGACCGTTCCGATTCCTTCGAGAATAGAGTGCATATATTGCAAGCGTTCCATGGAAACTGCAGGTGCAGCCCCGCCGGTCCAAAATGTGACCACTACGTATCCTGTCATGAGACAGTTTCCTAGGGTCCCGATTCTCATACCAGGGACTACGCTACCTACCACAGCAGCTTTACCAGCAGCCTCGACACGTCCGTTCGCGCTAGCTGCTGGAGCTAATGTGGGTCGAATTTTGCCACCTCATATGCAAGCAATATTTGAACAGCAAAAGAGAGACGACAAGGCGACTGAGGAAAAACGGACCCAGCTGATTGCCCAACAAAAGGTTGAGCAGCAACGATTGCAGTTTGAGCGCAAACAAGCTGAGATGGCAGCAGCAGTACGAAAGCAGGAGCGATTAGCCATGAAGCTAAAAGACCGTCATCTTCTTATTCTTCGGCGAGGTATTAAGGGCTGTCAAGATCTCAAGCGAAAGGCCGAGGATTGTGGTGCCACTTTGGCGATTGAGGTCAATTCACAGCTGACGGATATTGTTAGTGGGATGAGCCGAGAAGAGACGCTTAAGTGGCTGAAGCTGAGCAAGCTCGCAGGCGACGTGGAACTCCATGACGACACGTGGCTACGGAATGAAATTGCAAAAGAGAAAGGTTTGCCATTGATTTCCGACGAACCGTACATGGACGCAACCTCGGAGTCCCGACCTGCCGCCGCAGCTGTTACTGCTGTTCATGCTAAGGCTCCCATTGCCAGTACTCCTACTCCTACGTTCACAACAACAAACAACGAAAGTCCACAGACCACAGCGGACAGCAGCAGTGATTGCATCGAGCTTATGGAATCTGACGGTGAAGTCAACTCCAAGGCAAAGACGAATGTTAGCGATGGCGCAGCAGCAAATGCCGATGATACAGAGACCACCGCCCCTGTAGCTGACGTAATCGAGATCTTGTAGTCAGTGATGTTGATATTTGATGAAGCAAAAGAACCGTCGTCCGGTGAGAAGCGGAATTTTGCAGTTGGTTTGTATTGCAGTTGAGTTGCGTCGTCGGGAACATTGGTGCCGAGGTATGGCGTCTCATGGCCGTACGATGCTTTGTGAGCTGGCCAAAACTCTTTTGTCGTGCAGTGGTATACAAGGATGAAACGGAAGGGTTCGAGGACACGTGTCAACGTTTTCGAATACGTTTATGTGCCCGCCATGACGACCTCAGTGTTGCGAGTGACAAGAAGAAGGCTGATGCCGCCTTCTGTGGTCGCGGTCTTTCAATTTACGTGACGATGTGAAAGACACTCAGATGTCAGCCATTTAGTAGACACGTTGTGTCCGTCTCGTTGATAGTGCTCGACGGGGACGGTGTGCGACTTTGGGGCGGATTTCGAAGTGTGATAGCAGATGAGCACTTGGTCTTCAAACGCCCACATACTCAGTGGTTGTAATAGGTGGAGCCACTCTGAACAACTTGCAAGTGAGCACTTAATCTTCGAACGTCCATGTACTCGGCGACAGCAGTAGGTTGAGCCACTTGCAACGATGCGTATGGCAAGCTAAGTTTAAAACCTTTACAGGTTTTAGTGCCTCGACACAATTGCCCATGGAGATATATTTGTCATTTGATGGCGTCGTCAAGCAAGTTCTGATGCAATGGAGCAAGAAAGTGCTTGGAAACCGGTACTCTATTTGTTGACGTCGTGTGATCATGCTTTCGCTACTGCATGTTCTTTGTCTCGTCCTGAGCGACGCCTGTATCTGCTGGCATTCATCGATGTGACAAATGTGGAACATAACTAACAGAGCTGTTTGCGCGTTTTTTAAAAAAGGGCTTGACGGAGCAGTCGCTGCCAAGGGATCGGCGCGAATGTTGCTCTCGTGGTTGTTTACCCACAATAGCAGTTTTGTCATGCTTGTGTGACGCTCTGCATCGAAGAAAGGGCGTAGCCCCGGCCACATTCGTCATCTCTTCCTTGCATAGCTCGTGGAAGGTATTTACACAGGCTGTAGGTTCGGACACGTTAAATATATGGGCTTCAGTCATAATCCACTGGTGAGTCTATGCTAGGATGATTAAGGAAACAAGTTTGAGTCCTCAATATGCATGTGCATTCGTCTTGTGACTGCTGAAATTACTACTACACATTCGACGTAAGTATGCATAGCCATGATATGAACACATGAAACAGGGAGTTGACTGCAGAGGTAGCCCGAAACAAGGAGATGACGCGGCACGACACCATTTCAGGCTGCTGTTGAAGTCCACATTCATGGCCACTTCTACATTCCTGTTTATGCCACGGCAAGTAAAAAGGAGGTATGGACGATAGAGCAACCGTCAGTCCCACCCATAACCGATGTTGTGCTCCATGCACATTGTCGTACCACTGGCAGCAATCTATGATTGCAGCTGTCTGCGCAGACGAAGAGACTACAATGCTTTGGTGACACTCGCAGCCATAACATGCATAATCAGTGCACTGAAAGCGCAAGAAATCCGAGTCGTGTAATCGGAACCTCACCGACATCCCAACGTGCTAACAACCTCGAGCCATTGCACTTCTTATGACAGTAGCGACGAACAGACAACTTCGAAACGCAAACGCTGACGAGAGTGCGGCACGTACACCGCATGTACCATCTTCAATGTGAAGTAACAGTAATACTAAACATCCCGAATCCCTCGCAACCCCGTCATCGACCCCAGAAAACCCATCCAAAGGACCGATTCTGATTGGTTCCCACACACCAAAACTCCAATCATTTATCTGCCTTCCCATTGGCTATATCAAGCCACTCACCGCCCCATCCAATCGACTGGTCACGGTGACCACTACGCAATTGGTGCACGTCGTCGTCCTTGTCGCTTGTCTGGCTCTCTCTCTCTCTCTGAGGGTACATCGCTCATGACTACCTCACCCGAGAAGAAGCAAAAGACCGCGTCTTCTGCGTCTCGTAGCTCTTCGCTGCTGCGTTTCTACCGCTCGCCAGCACTCACGACGCACGCAACGCAGACGCTCTTGTCGTTTTTACGTACCCAAGTCAAAGCGGACCCGGACGTACAAGTGGACGACGTCGCGACTGAGTACTGTTTTTACATCGAAACGACTGGTGAGGAGACGTTATTGTCGTCGGAGAATGAGACGCTTCAGTGGTTGCTCAGTGAGACATTTGAGCCGCAGCAAACCCGTGCCGGTGAATCGTTCATTGGAAATAGCGACAATCAGGCGAACGAATGGCTCGTGGAAATTGGACCTCGCATGAACTTTACCACCGCGTGGTCGAGTAATGCTGTAGCCATTTGTCACGCTTGTGGCCTCACGTCGATTAAGCGCATTGAACGGGCGACGCGGTATTTAGTGCGCTATCGAGCAACGTCGAGGGATGCTGTGGAGACGGTGAAGACGGCGCTTTTGCGGCAAGAATGTGACCGGATGACGCAGCAAGTGTACGACGAGCCACTGACGAGCTTCTGGCATGGCAAGACTGTGCAGCCTGTACGCACGATCCCCATTATGGAACGGGGGCTGGATGCACTCAAGGAGATTAACGACGACGTTGGACTGGGCTTTGATGAGTGGGATCTGCAGTATTACTTGAATCTGTTTAAAAACAAGTTGCGTCGTAACCCGACGGATGTCGAGTGTTTTGACATGGGACAGAGCAACTCGGAGCACTCGCGGCATTGGTTTTTCGGTGGCAAGATTGTGGTGGATGGGCAGGAGATGCCGCAAACACTTTTCCAGATGGTCAAGGATACGTTGACGGATAGTGCCAAGCAGAACAGTATCATTGCTTTCCACGACAACTCGTCGGTTATTAAAGGGGCTAACATTGTGACGCTCGGACCTGTGACTCCTGGGGAGCCCTCGCCGGTGCAAGAGCGCACGCTCGACAGCCACCTGCTACTTACTGCAGAGACGCACAACTTTCCGTCTGGTGTGGCCCCGTTTCCTGGCGCTGAGACTGGAACTGGTGGCCGCATTCGTGATGTGCAGGCCACTGGTCGAGGCGCTAATGTTGTTGCTGGTATCAGCGCTTACTCTGTGGGTAATCTTAACCTCGAAGGTTACCGGCTTCCGTGGGAGGACGAGAAGCTGGAGTACCCGTCCAACCTCGCTCACCCGCGTGACATCCTCATCCAGGCTTCGAACGGTGCTTCAGACTATGGCAACAAGTTTGGTGAGCCCGTTGTATCGGGATTCGCCCGTTCTTTCGGTATGGTGCTGCCTAATGGCGAACGGCGCGAGTACATCAAGCCGATCATGTTTTCCGCTGGTCTTGGCCAGCTGGACGGCCGTCACTGCACCAAGGGTGAACCAGAGATTCAGATGTGGGTCGTGAAGATTGGTGGGCCGTGCTACCGTATCGGCATGGGAGGCGGTGCTGCTTCCAGTCGTATCCAAGATGCCAAGACTGCTGAATTGGATTTTAATGCTGTGCAACGTGGAGATGCCGAGATGGAGTGCAAATTGAACAAGGTGATTCGCTCTTGCTGCGACCTGGGCGAGAACAACCCCATTGTTTCGATTCACGACCAGGGCGCTGGTGGTAACGGCAACGTGCTGAAGGAGATTGTCGAAGTGTCGAACTCGAAGCCAGGAGATGCTAACCGCGGTGGTGCTCGCTATGAGGTGCGCAACATCCTGGTCGGTGATGACACGCTGTCCGTTCTTGAAATCTGGGGCGCTGAGTACCAGGAGAACGACGCGCTTTTGCTCCGTCCAGAACATGTCAGGCTGTTTGACAAGATTTGCAAGCGTGAGAAGTGTCCGTATGCGCTGCTGGGCCAAGTGACTGGAGATGGGCACGTGGTTCTGCACGATTCGAAGGATGACTCTATTCCTTTTGACTTGGATCTTGACCTTGTGCTGGGCAAGATGCCGCAGAAGACCTTTGTCGATACGAAGGCTACAGAGATTGTCTCGGAGCTGTCACTCCCCGTGGATATCACTCTGCGTGATGCACTGGACCGTGTCCTGCGTCTTTTGTCGGTTGGCTCGAAGCGGTTCCTGACTAGCAAGGTGGATCGCTCCGTGAGCGGCTTGATTGCACAGCAGCAGACTGTCGGCCCGCTCCAGCTGGCCCTCGCGGACTGTGCTGTTGTGGCGCAGTCCAATGTGCCAAACAGCGACGGCAAGTTTTCTGGCGTGGTAAGCGCCTGTGGCGAGCAGCCTGTTAAAGGCCTGGTGAATCCCGGAGCCATGGCTCGCTTAAGCGTGGGTGAGTCACTTACAAACATGGTGTGGGCGGCTCTTGGTGGACGCGGTCTCGATGACTGCAAGTGCTCTGCCAACTGGATGTGGGCGGCCAAGTTACCCAATGAGGCTGCGTGCATGTACGAGTGCTGTGAGGCGATGACTACGTTCATGAAGCAGGTGGGTGTGGCTGTTGATGGTGGCAAGGACTCGCTGTCCATGGCTGCGAAGGTTAACAACAAAGACGTGAAGACGCCTGGTACGCTGGTGATCACCATGTACGCACCAACGGAGGACGTCGAGCTGAAGGTGACACCTGACCTTAAGACCCACATCGATGACAGTCTGCTGTACTACGTAGACGTGGGCAAAGGTGAGAACCGACTGGGTGGTTCGGCGTTAGCGCAGGTGTATGGCCAGGTCGGCAATGTTGCACCGGACGTCGAGGACGCCGAGTTGTTCAGAAACGCGTTTAACGGCATCCAAACTAGCATTAAAAATGGCCTTTTGCTTGCTGGCCACGATCGTAGTGATGGTGGTCTTATTATCACGCTGTTAGAGATGGCATTTGCTGGCAACTGCGGTCTCGATGTCGACATTCCGTTCACGGGCGACAAGGTCTTGACGAAGGACGTGATTCAGGTGCTCTTCGCCGAAGAGCTTGGGTTTGTATTCCAGGTTGCTGGTAATCAGCATGCCAATGAGGTGGAGTCTATCTTCAGTAGCCTGAATGTGCCGCTTGTGAAACTGGGCAAGGTCACTACCGATGGTGTCATTACGGTGCGCATCAATGGCGAAAGTGTCGTTCAGGACCAAATGGTGGATCTTCGAGATGTGTGGGAGGCGACAAGTTTCGAGCTCGAGAAGCGTCAGTGCAACCCTGAGTGTGTGGCGCAGGAGCAGCGTTCATTGCGTACCCGCACAGGTCCGTCATGGAAAGTGACTTATGAGCCTGAACCGACGCCAGAGCGCCAATTGAGTACGCGTGCTCAGCACCGTGTAGCTGTTCTTCGTGAAGAGGGTAGCAACGGGGAGCGGGAGATGCTCGCTGCATTCCACCATGCTGGTTTCGAGGTCTGGGACATCACGATGTCGGACTTGGTACACAAGCGTGTGGTGCTGGACGAGCGATTCCGTGGCGCGGCGTTCGTAGGTGGCTTCACTTTTGCTGATGTACTTGGCTCAGCCAAGGGCTGGTCTGGTGTGGTGAAATACCACGGTGACGTGTTAAAGCAGTTTACGGCGTTCAAGGCTCGCGAAGACACGTTTAGTTTTGGTGCGTGCAACGGTTGCCAGTTCATGACGCTGCTTGGCTGGCTCGATCACCCAGAGGCCAAAGCATTGGAGGAGGAGACGCAGACGTCTGCTCAGCCACGTTTTGTGCACAACGAATCAGGACGTCACGAGTCTCGTTTCGTGTCGGTGCAGATTCAGGAGTCGAACTCAGTGATGTTGCGTGGCATGGCCGGCTCTTCCATTGGTGTGTGGGTCTCGCATGGCGAAGGCCGCGCACATTTTACGCACGCAAAGATTCAGGAAAAGTATATATCAAGTGGTGCGGCTGCTATTCGCTACGTGGACGACTCGAACGTGCCCACGGAGGAGTACCCGTTCAACCCGAATGGCTCACCCGAAGGTATTGCCGGTCTCGTGTCGAGCGACGGTCGTCATCTGTGTCTCATGCCGCATCCGGAACGCTGTTTCTTGAAGTACCAGTGGCCGTACATGCTGGCGGACTTTGAGAAGTATTCCGCGAGCCCATGGATGCGAATCTTCCAGAATGCCAAGACATTCTGTGAAGGTTCGTCTTCGTAGCTGCCTCTTTGCATTGAACATGCTGCTGCTACTGCTTTGGCTGCATTAAGGGAGCGAAATCACACAATAACTTCTGCAGTTGCGATGATCAAAGAGCTTTTCGAGGCTCCATATTGGATGCCGTTCGTGTAATTGAAGGGTGTTACTTCAATAACCACCTGAATACAGCTTTGACGTGCACGGCAACGGCTCAATATGGAACAAATGTTTTCACGAAGGCGTTTGAGTGCACAGCAAGTCTTTGCTCGCATTCGACTTGTAAGGGAATGTCAACGGTTATCAAGAGCATGTGTTTCGGAGTAACGTTGTGCGATTCATGCAAGGCAGCTTCAACATGGGGACGCAGATGCTTCTTGGACCCACGTAGTGGTATAAAACGGTTCTGCAGATACAGCTGGTACCCTCTTTAGATATCGACGTATAATGCTGAAGTATCGTCGTTCGAACTAGTTGTTGTTTTTACACTCTCGCGCTGTAACATACTTGCAAATACGATGCTACGGCGTACATCAATTGGTCTATTCTGTATTGCTCTACTTCATCGCGGACTAAAGTTTGACGCGCCCTAGACTACATCTGTATTGAAATAGAACCAGAAGTGACACATTAACTGCGGAGATAACGATCACTGGTTGCAGAAGTAGACAAGGCCAAAGAGATGGGTATATCCCGAATGGAGCCAAAGCAAACATGGCAGACTTCAAGTTCGTAAGTTCAAGATTATTAAAAGTTAACTGCATTAAGAATCAAAAGGTAGGTAGATCTCACTCAGTCTGAGGTGCAAAAGCGTGAGCTTGTATTCTTAGCTTACCAAGAAGAATAGACCGCTATTCAAGCAGACATTCTACTTTACACATCGTATCATCTCAATAAACCGAGAACATTTATGCTCACCAATTAGTTTTGATCTCATTACCAATCTAGGCAAAGTTAGTGAAGTATCGTAAGCAGATGTTTCAGTGCATCGTCGGCATGACTGTGGATAATGGTCAATGACACTGCTCAAACTAAAACATGAAGAAGGTTACGGAGGAGCTCATCTCCTGCATTTACTTACCGAGCCTGAAACAACGCAAAGCTTGCTAGATCCTGACATGTAAATTCAGTAACGACGCAGCCTACATGTTATCGTCTTCGTCTTCGAGCGCGTATTCCTCCATACCCTCTCCATCCTGTTCCAGCTGTTGGTACCTACGTCTCGCTTCCTGATGTGCCAGGCAGGAAGCAAACGGGCGACTCACACAGCTGATCGTATAGCCGGCCAAAGACCCAAGTTGTGAATACAGCTGAGACATGCGATTGCCAGTCTGAAGTTGCCACGCGGTAATCTCGTCTTTCAAACTTTGTGCACGGTCGTTCTCGCCTGCAGCTGGATCATGGGCTGTGATACCGCTACTATGTGATTCCGCTTTTTTGTTTTGGCCGTGAAACGGTGACGGCAGGTCAATCGTGGACGGGCGTAGCAAATGTGACCCAAACAGCTTCGATGCACGACCGCTGAACACAACCCGTGACGGAGACTGCGATCCATCTTTGTCAGCATTCAGAGGGTTGTCAATTCTCGTCAGCTCACGATGGATCGGTAGGAGAACACACTCGTGAGAATTTCGGTTCGGATCGCACATGGGAAGATACACCACGTTTATATTTTGCTCCACATCGGAGAGCACCCGCCGAAGCTTCACTTTCATAGCTGGATCCAATTCTGCAGCTAAAACTTGCAGCCACATTCGTCCCTCTTCAGCGCTGAACACGGTGCCAATGGCGGACAAAATGGCACCATTTTTGACATAAAACAGCTCTTTTGCAGATCTCGAAGCCTCAGCACGAGCCGCCAAAGTGTTTTCTGGTACAGATCCCGCTGCTTCTTCATCTTGGTTGGGGCTCCACGGCTGTGCTTGGTTGAGATCCGTCGGCAAAGATACCTGATAATACTGCTTCGGATTTATCTTTCCAGGCGAGGGAATTTCCTGAACCATGCATGTGTTCGTCTTGGCGTTCGATTGGATCGCATAGCCGTACTGAACGAGTTTATCAGAATCGCTGAACTCCTTTTCTCTAATCGAGGACTCTTCAGCATCGTGTTCAGAATTCGTATTCTGCTCATCAATGTCGTCACCGGCACTTCTGCTGGACTGGACTCGTTTTTTCAGAGGCAGGGCTACTCGAATCCATATGCGTCCCTTTTCATTAAGAATTCGCTGAGTAGAAACGAACACGGAACCTGGATCAAGATGACCAACAATCTCAGCTTGCAGGTCTGCAGTGCGACGCAGCGGCAGTGGTCGACGACTATATACCGTGCGGTAATACCTTTCAGCATCGTCGTTGGACGGCGCATCCCGGATACGTGTACTCGCCCATGGCACCATTACTCTCTGCGCGGTGTTTGCATTGCGCTCGATGACCCACGCATCAGGCTTTGCATCTGCTACTGTATCGCCATTAGCTCGACGATTTTGCTCCTGATCATCACCCGTTTTCGCATTACCATCATTAATCTCGCTCTTTTCTTCAACACCACCTTGCGGCTTCTGCTGCACTACAAGTGGCTCAATCCGTATCCACACGCGGTCTTTTAGCAACTTGCGCTCAATCGCACGCACCACACGATAACTCTCGATACCGTACAGCCGCGGTGCTTGGAGATTCGGGATCGCTCGGACAGGCAGTTCTCCCACCCACTTGCCGCTTCGTTCTGCCACATTTTGCAGATACACAGGTCCATTACGGAAAACTCCACATTCGCACGGATCTTCCACCTCAATCAGTGTCTTGTGAAACGACGCGTTAATCCACCCACTGACTCCAGCAGCACCAGCCATAATTACCTTGATGGCCAATTGCGTAAAGTCCTCATTAAACCGGCACTCTGTAGCTCGAAACACGCTCACAGGTGGCACAAAACGCTGCAATGGACGTAACGTCGTAGCCCGGTCATCGTTTCCACCAGCAGAAGAACTTGATGACATGGACGACATTGACGTTGAATGGAGCGTAAATACTGGCTCGCGATACAGCATTAAACGGTCACGTGCACACATATACGTCGGAAATGCTGCACACCCAACCAAAAAATACCAATAAAGCAACATTAATATCACCAAAAAATAAAAATTCAGTCAGCCGTATAGTAAAGTAAAGTCAATCGGAAAAAGTAGGCACATTTTTTGGAAATCTTGTTCCTATGACCGCCTACCTGGAAGTCGACGCATGTGGCGAAATGGTACCGGCTGTGCTTCGGTTACTGCAGCATATTGACGTGAAGGCAGGTCACTGCCATCTAGAGACACTCCGGAAGTCGAAGGTGATGCAAAGTATACACGGATGTAGCCATTATGTTGCGTATTCGAAAAGTAGCCACGACGGATTTTCAGCCACACGTTATCGTCATAATAGAGAACCGTGGAGCACGCAAAGTACGAGCCTACGGGCAGGTGGCCACAGCGATTGATGTGCTTTTCACACGGAGACGAGTAGACAAAGAGACGGTTTTGGTTCAGTAACGTAGACGACAAGACAGCGCCATTGTCTGGACCAATGTATTGGAAGAATTCTTCCATAGTGTAGTCGCAACACGACACAAGAAGAGACTTAAAGGGCGGTTCGAGATACTGGAATCGAGATACTTTATCGTGGATTTGTGCGGACTAACGAGACACTTGAAAGCGCATTTTCGACGGAAATACGCACACAATCGACTCGTTGTCGGCCAGTTGTATGTGATTTGACCAATCACCTCCTGCCACTGTAAAGCAGGGTTACGGATGTAAACAGCTGCGGTTCGTCTTACAAACCTGAGGTCATCAGATCTGGAGACTCGAACTGGACCCAGTATCTCTCCCTCGCTTGCATCGTTGCGGCAACCGGTAGACTTTGTTGCGTTTAAACTTGTTGATTGCAACACGTTTAAGACAGACGCTTTTACAGCTATAGTGTGTGCTGCTTTCTTTGCTCCTAATGTAAGTGGAAGTCTCAATAATGACGCAAAGTTTCAATCTTCTGTACCCTCCTACATTCCCGACAGCAGTGTCAACAAAGTGCCGCGCGTCATTACTCGTTAATCTCCAGTGCTAAAGAGAAGGAGTACTAACTTCCAACGTACTGATATCAGATAGCAGACTCCACACAGAGGAACCTGTTCCGCCACACGCCACCTCCTTGTAAATGACAATGCCCCGAGGGCCACTGATAGGCGCAGACGCAGTAGAAAGTATTGCTACCTGTTAGACTCTGTACTCAAGCGCAAAGATGCAAGTAATGCCAACTTTACGACAAGTTATTCGTAGACTTTGCCGTTCACAAACAGACTCCACACGTCGTGCACTGCATCTCCAATCGCGGAGGTAGATGACGTTACAGCAGCGAGCAGTCTCTCTTGGCTAAGCTCGTCGACCCCTTTCCACGACTATTCGACTCATTTACTCGGACGTGTTGTGGTGCTTTAGAATGAGAGCCTTCGTCAATATATCAGCGATACCCTTGTTCTGAAAGCTACGTAGTTCGTCACAATTATCCCACGTCTAGCTTGGTCGTACATAGAGCTACACCCTTGTGCCGATCTGTTCGACTGTACCAGGTGACGGTTCATTCTTCCTGGTCCTTGACTGCAGCTCGATTGTCAACTATCATTGACATCGGGGTCACTATGGCTAGGGCCCAAATAAAACAGCAGCTCGCAGTCGCCAAGTAGCTTCCATGACGTCTTAAAGGCAGCAACGAACTCATCTTCAGTCATGGACAGCAGAAACTATCTGTAGTAGCATTTTCTCGTTGCGATTGCTGCAATGGATGACGACGCTGAAAGCTCTTCATGCCAATCTAAGAAACGGTCTTCAAGCACGGCGACGCCGACGCCTGTCTGAACCTGAATTAAAATATTTGCTGCGGGAGAATATCACTCTCTGGTAAACCGTGGTGACTACATTGCGCACCGTACGGACCTAGGCCGCGACAGGTGCTAGTGCTGTGCCACCAAAAACGTGTACTTCATGACGATGCCCGATCCGAAGACCGGTGGCACGTGGGACTGGGTAGCGTGGGTGTCCAACGCACCCACGCCCAGTATTATCTAGACCATTACGAAGATTCTCAGCTTCGCTACCCCACGCTGTACGGCAAGCGACTCTTGCTCGCGAGAGCGCACAAAGAGGGTATGCAATATCTGGTGACTATTGGACGCAACTAGTCACTTTTGTGCGCGGCGCACACCACGTAGATCACGTCTCAGTAGTGTGAACCCTTGTTGGAAACAGTGGCGAGCAGCATCCGTTTTACACCAACAAGCACCGTATCGACGAGCTAAAAAGGTGAAAGCATCAGTGAACATTGCGGAGTTGACGTCAACTCCACTCATGTTGCCGAACAAGTCGTCTCGGAAATCCTGGTCTTCCGACACAACCTTGAGTTATAACAAACATTCGTTTATAAACACAGAACTACCTGGCACTCGAAGACCGCGTCTCGATGTACGCATAGTTCTTTCATGATAGACGGTCTTGGCGGACAAAGGGTACTAAGTAAATACGCAGCAGCTCCGGGATGTACATCTGGAAAGAGGCCGACCAGGGCGCTGCCTATTAGACAATAAAGAGCATGAGACTGATGGTATTCCGAGCGGCATGGGTATTGTCAGCTATTAGCTTGGGCAGCTGTGTACACTATGGCGCACTTGTGCAGATAAGTACTGGTAAGATGTACGCTTTGTATGATGTATTTTCTAGGCGTACATATTGATCAACTGCGCAATACTGACGGCAAGAAGTGTAATCTGGCCTGGAATCGCCTTACCAGGTTCGAGATAGAAATTGAGTGTTGCAGACATCTCAAATGCAGGGCAGTACCCTTTGAAAAAAGCGCTTTCTCCTCGAAACTCAATCTGACAACTTTCCAGGACAAACTGGAGTATGGGCCTCTGCCAAGCAATGATAAGCAAATTCAGCAGGCGACTCTTATTTCAAGTCGGTTGATCCCTTTACCACGTTACTCTTTCATTCAAATTCGCTGAGATTTTCTAATGAGATGAAAACTGTTTTATTATTGTGGAAAATCGAAATATTCGTGAATTTTAAAATAAGTGTGACTTTTGAACGACGAAGCCACTGCTGTTGCGAACGAGTAACTGAAGGGACGGTGCAGAACACGTTCGGTTTTTCATAGTGCATTAACATTCGTACTTGCGAGCGAATTCAACTTGGATAGTACCTAACTGAAGCTTTACTTACAAATGAGGGACAAACGAGGCTGCAGCTGCTTCGTTCAGAATACGATGTAGTAGGAGATTGATCCATGCTGGACCTGCGCTCTACAGGGGAGAACCGCCGAGCTGACCATCAGCATTTGATGTGTACCGAACGAAGTTTTGTTCTTAAAGCACAGCTTCCAGCGTTCACACCGGAAATCCTGGTACCGTCTATCTCTCCCTTCCGCATTGGAAATGGATCAGCGGTCGAGCCTAAATTGGTCTATCAGGCTGAGCTTCGTTTGGTAAGCCTATGACTGGTCAATGGTGCGACAGTCTCTCACGGTCTCTATAGAATTTCTGGCCCGCTACTTGTGTCGTAAACAATGACAGAGTTGATAATGACTTTGGCATAAAGTAAATAACCTTAGGCTGAGCAACTCACGGCTACACTGCGTTGTGTTGTTCGCCGATCCTTCAAGCGTCGGTACCCAAGGGACGCAACTATAGTGGGGCACTTCGCTTGTACTAGCGACAGTATAAGATTAGCTATACTTACCACAGCGTAGGCAGTGGTATCGGAATAAATCTTACGCAAATGCAAGCGCAAACGATAAACGAACACAATGGTTGAAAGAAAAGGGAGAGCTGTATTTGGTTTTTATTTCTGTAATACCTGAATACAGCCTACATTAATCTTCTTCAAACACTATCGGACTATAAACGTAAAGTGTGACCAACCGCTTACCAACCATTGCGTACGTCTATCGTGGCTCGACCGTATTTGTTGATCTCGTGGCCTGTATCGAACAATAATCAGAGTGTTTCCAACTACAGCTGAGTATAATCGCCTAGCGCAATATTCCAAGAATATTCAGCTGAATATTACCGTAATGAAAATATCAAAAAACGGGCTCACCCCGTTTCGAGTGACCGATCGTGTCTATTCGAAAAAGGATTTTTGTCTCGTGTTCGGATATCACAAATGTCATATTCAATAAGCATTCAAACGACTATTGCAACAATCTGAAGCTATAATCAGCTCGGATCCACGACAGCGGGCAACAGTGCATCAGCGCCTACTCAAGTTTAGGATGCCCAGAGAGCCTTACGAAACACCTGTCCGGGCAGGCTACAGACTCGCAACAGAATGAGAAAGCATACCGTCGGGACATCCCGATGACATAAGAATTTGCACATTTTTGATGTGTCATGGCTCACATCTTCTAGAACTGCCCGAATAGACGCACGTGTTATAATACAGTCCTCTGTCACTGGACAGGAGGAAGAGATGCGCATCTAGTGGGTGGTAGTCGCTCTCTTGGAAGAGCGACTGACTAAGCTCCTGGCATTCCGCTACTGCAAAAGCATGTGCTCCATCGAATGTTTGGAGTAGATGTCGATGCATGATCGTAAATCGTCTTGCGATTCGAGGAGCTTGGGAGAATATAACGTCAGCACGCAGCGATCGCCAAAACGCGAACATTGGTGTCCTGACACGGTTGTCTAGTTGGCTCTACCACACGTCTGTACTTACTCATTCATATCAAAACTCCCGAAAATAGCGGCTTGAATAGAGGTCTGCCCGGTAAGCTACCAGATTGGGCGCTCTAGTCCTAACGCAGATGTATTCAGATCGTTCATCATCCGTCATGAAGTCTCGCTCCATTCCTCACAACGTTCGAACATTCCCGATAGCACTATCAAATGCAAATATGCCGCTAGGCCAATAGCGCGCTCACATTAGTCGAGCTCAGTGGCAATAGACGCTCACTTCGAAAGCAATTGATGCGGCGATGATCGGCATCAAACTGAATAAAGCGCACTGCTACTGAGTTGCAGCATGGTCTGAGTAAGATAGGGGCGCAAGCTCTGGATAATAGGCAGAACCTTCGCATCGCACGTAGATGCAACATCTACATGCTCGCTACCGATGCCGCGTGATAAGACTTCAATCTCTCTCAGAAGCCTGTACCGTGAAGCCAGAATAAACGATCGACACCAGAAGCCGCTTTTTGACTCGCATTACAAGTTCGCGGTGGTAGATATGGTCAATGCAAATCACTCGACTTCAGTAAGACGATCTCGTCCATTTGGTAATGACGTGCCACTCGCTGCGTACACATCTGAACGCATTTCAGTGTCGCCAGCGTTCCTATCCGTATCTCCACCACCTATTACCACTCGATCTTGTCATCGTCGTCGCCCCATCTGCTCGAGCCATTAGAAACCCGCTCGATCGAGTAGAAACCCGCTCAACATGATAACATCTCGATAATACTTGTGCTGTCGTGAATCACACACTCAGCTCGCCCGATATTCCATTGGATAAATCAGATCCCACTTTAAAACAACCCAACTCCTGATCTTTGACCGAAGCTCATTTCTGAAATCTCCGTCTCCCGATGCTAAACCTCATCTCCACCCTCTCGACCGTCGCCGTGGCCGTGGCGCTCGCCAATGCCGAGCAAGAAGTTTCCCTCAAGATCCACGTCGGCCAAACGAAGTTTCGCGTGACTCCTCTCGGCCAGCAATGTGCCTTCAACAGCTGCGTGGATCCGCAGTTGTACCCATGTGCCAACAGTGTCTGCATGCGTCTGAACTACACTTACGGGAAGTGCAGCCCCGACAAGGGCGTGAAGCAAGACTACAATAACGTCAAGTATCTGTGCCCGTACCCGAACCCGTACAACCCCAAACTTGGCGTGCTGAGCAAAGCGAAGAGCAGCGTCGAGCAGGACGAAGACGAGCACGAAGACGAGATCGAAGACGAAGACAACTAAGAGCTGGTGGAAACTGTGACAAAGAAGAGGACACAACTTCCTGCTTGTTCCCGTGAGGAGGTGTGTGTACATAACAATATCAACAGGTTCTTTTGACTGACTGATGAGTGCTTTTTTCTGGTGAACTGACGTGATTAAGTGGACCATCATCATACTGCAGGGAGGACCCGAAGTTCAGGTTGAACGGTCGACGTCATTGTTGTGGCTGGCTCTGTATGGTCCAGTACGCGATTGTTTGTTGTATACTTAGTTAGTGCCGCATATTATAAGGACTTACTGCATTGGGTCTTTCGGTTCGCCCTTCCGTCTCCTCCAGTCAATTACCGCATCGACTGTTTTTTGGCGTCCGACAGAGCACAAATGATCTGTTCACAGAAAGCACATTTTAATCAATTGGTACCGCGAGAAAGCACTTTGTTGAATCAGGTGCAATTAGCTCAGATTTGTGCAGCATCGTCTTAACACCGAAGCTAATTATTTATAGTCATTTGCAATCTGGCCAAATGCACTTGATGCACAAAAATACGTCTGCGACTATCAAAAGGGAGCTAGTACCGTCAAAATAGCACTCACGCGAAACGATATTGGTCGGACAGGATCTATCAACCACGTCTTCAATGTGTACCGATCGCCAGTCGCCAAATCGTACCTAAATTGGTGTTAATTAGTTGTGATTGTAATTAAAGCCTGAGCCCCGACTAATTACGGGCGCAGTTACTCCCCGTACATGTTAATAGAGTAACATGGCCCAACAAAAGCTTTGGCACAAGTTGCTGTCATTCACCTTGTGTGTGAAAGTTTTTTATCATCGCTCCTGGGTTTGTCATCCTTCATCCCAACCAACAGCTCTTTATGTTTTTATATAATGAAAACAATAGCACCCTGCAGGAGGTTATAAGCCGTGGTGTCGTAGATGACGCGGTGGTGAACACCAGCAGGACAGCCCATTAACTTTTAACCTGGATTCTCGTGCGAATTTACCGGCTGAGTTGTGTATGGGTACGTCGTTGACGAAGAGAGGGGTAGATCACTGTTAATAAACCTGTGGTGCTTGCAACATTCGTGAGTGGTTGGTTATAGTGCTGCAACGAACGTACCTAGTAGGTGAATTATAGTCCTTCTGCAGTCGTACCCATGATGTTCTAACCGGCTTGAATGGCACAATTTCGCTGCAACGAGTCATCAATCGGGCGACATCCTGGGTCCGTCCTGCCATGATCTTCACTCTTGGCACATGTTGTATCAACATCAATGTTTCGGCAGTCAAAGGTCCGTCCAGTTTAATCAGTTCGTACACAGCCACGACCTCATCTTCCGAATGCACCTACTCATTTGAAGAATCAAGGTCGTAATAATCCACATGAGCTCCCGAGTCAAATTCGCCACTGATAGCAAGTCGGACGCCGCGCTCGGACGACTTTGCAGGTGGAATGAGCGTCCCTCGAGTCTTCATTTCTACAAACTGGTGGCGAAGTCCAGAGTCCACCACTGGTGACTCGCGGATTGTCTGCTGCATCTCCGTATCCATCGGTCCAGGCGAGTACTGCAGCACCCGCACTTTGTCCAGTGCCGCTTGTTCCGTAGCAATCACCCGATGGTGCATCTCGCGCGCTGCTTTGCCCGTGCAATACATCATGTGCGTCTTGAAAGGCTCGATCCCACACAACGACGTGATATTGACCACCACAAGCTGCGTCTGCTCTGTGTCCGTTTGTACTGCTGCGGAGTCCAGCAGTTGGTCTCTAGTGGCTCCAAAGACGTCCAAAAAGCGCTTATTTAACCACATCACCGACGTCACATTGAGCTCCCAATATGGCTGCATCGCCATCGGAGACAAGGTGCTTTCCTGCACGAGTCCAAGCTGCCCGAGCGATCCTGCATTGTGCACCAGGAACACTTGAGCATAGGTCTCGGTTGCAAGTGTTGACAGCACTTGGTCGACTCTTGCCGTGTAGACTGCAGGGTCACTCAAGTCTACAGCCTGCAAGAAACAGCGCAATGTATTGGATGCTGATGCAGCAGACCATTCCGCATGTGCCATTCGCTCCGTATCTTTGAGGTCCAGTTCCGTGCGAGCCCACAGATGCTGCATACCCATCATTCGTGCACGGTCAAGTACAGGTTTAGATATAAGCGTATCGTGTATATCCAGGATACGCGATCGATGAATAAGTAACTCAAATCAAGAAAAAACAAGAAGCAGGTCGCAAACGCGCAACAAGTGACGCACCAGATCCAGATCTCGGTCGCTCAAAAGACGGACGAAATCCAGCGCGAGGCAGCGGCCAAAGCCCCTCGAAGCACCCGTCACCAGTACAGCGGTTTTCAGCATCGAGAAATCACCCACGATCCTTTCGACCCCGCGTCACCAATCTAACTACATTCCCCCCCTCACTTAAATGACCGTCTAGATTCTGCTTTGTTTCTAAAACAAACAAAGCAAAACCCAAACGCAAGTTCCCCAACCTCACCACGCGCATAAAACCCACAACCCATCCCAACCCGCACCGACGACTCATTCCCCCCGAATAAAACCCACACTTTCGCCTTTTACGAACAGCTCCGTCGGAATAATATGCCGCGCGGCCCGCGTCGCGACGGTCTCGACGCCCCCCCTCGAGTCATAGCCCCTTCTCCTCCTCCATCGCCTCGAGGCCCTCGAGGCACCAGCAGCTCCGTCCCTTCAGCCACAACGCGCCAGCGATTCGGTCAACAGGAAGATTTCCTGCTCCTGCAGCAGGTGCAGCGGGGCGCTCCATACAAGGCGCAGCATGGGACGATCCAAAGGACGTGGGACCGCGTGGCCGAGCAGCTGAACGCGCATCCGGATTTCCACATGCGGTTGGTGAAGGGGTCGACGGTGAAGGCGCGGTTCGATACGCTCTTGAGTCGCCATCGGGAGCGGGTGGGGGGGAGAGCGATGGGGATGCAGGGGGAAGGACGTTGTGACGAGGGAGAGGGTGAAGGGGGCGAGGAGAGAGAGGGGAGGGAGAGGAGGAGGAGGAGCCAGCGGGACGGTCCGTTTTGGGGCCTGATGGCGGAAGTGGTCAAGCAGATTGACGAGATTCCGGCGAAGGAGGGAGACAGAACTCTACTGGATGGTAGCGGAGGCAGGGGAGATGCACGAGGTGATCGAGGCTATGGGCTGCAGAGGAAGAGGGTTTATAAGGAGGAGGAGGGGGAGGAGGAGAAGGCGTCCTGTCGACTGGGCAGACATCGAGGAGGTTCGAGTGGGGCTGGAGTCCTGGATGGAGAGCGGTGGAGGATGATGGCACGAGACGGCGTTGATGCTCGAGTGTCGTCGTCTTTGCACGTTCGTGATGATTCGGTGGCGAATGGTGTTGTAGGAAGAAGTAGTGGAGGGGTTGAAGACGAAGCGGCTGGTGGGGTGTCTTTACCGGGCGGTCGAGAAACTCCGGACTTGGCGACAGTGCAGCAAGCGATGGGCGAGTTGTTGAAAATGCAGCACGTGTTGGCTACGAGGCCAAGTGAGGGTGGTCTTGTGACGGCGCTGGGATTGATGAACGAGGCGAGACTGCGCGAGGAGGAGGAGAAAACCAAGCAGCGCGATCTGGAGCTTCTGGTAGAGAAGCAACGCACGAAACGGCGACAGATGGAGCTGGACTTTGAGCGAAACGAGCGCAAGAAAGACCGTGAGGAACAAGCCAAGTTGATTGCAAGCTTACTCGAGCGTCTGCAGTCGGCACATAATTAAACAATCCGAAGTCCTGGTGGTGCGACTGGAGCCGCGTAACTTGCGCTGGATGTACCGTCGAAACGCTGTAAATGGATGGCTGGCCATGCAATACTATTGCGATGTGGAAAAGGTATCCTGTTGCTATCAGTGGTCAGGTGAGACATCACCTGACGGAAACGGGCCTATGTTGCTCCGATGGCGGTGGTGACATTGCTTTTCGAAGCTTGTGAACCAGCAAGTGGACGACGCGACTTACGAGCTTAAGGCGGAACGACGCTTCTTTGACGCACTTGAGTTTGTCTCAGCCGGTACGTCGTCAACCCGAACGCACTTACACCCACGTATCTTCGGTCATCCTCAAAGTGGAAGCACGAGGAAGGCTGCATATAGGATGCTTTCGACAGCACCTACGCAGACAAAGTAATCGAGACTTGAAATGCGATGCATGTCAACTCATCGCATTCATCAACGCTAACGTAATGATGTCGATGTGCTTACAGATGTTGATAGGTATCAGTCGAAAAAGTGTTGATGAGATCAAGTTTGTGCATTCGGTATGGCCGTGTGATTTGATGAAGCCAACCTGATCCCAAAGTGACCGAATGTCATCAATGCACGTGCTACAGCTATGACCGTGTCCAATGTAAGTTGTCATTGTGAATTTGCGACTATCGCGAAGTGCTTTGCGCTATCACTCGAGAGCGAATCAAATTGATGATGTTCTCTTTAGGAAAGCGACAGTATTCAAGATGTCCATGCCCCCCTTTGCGCTTCCACAAGGTGGCAACGATTGATTAAAGTCATGTCAAGCTTCACTCGTTACTTACCGCTGCAAGAAGTCTTGACCAGGGAACTCTTCCCAGTTTTTCTCACGGATGCTTTTCAGTCCCGGCCCCTTTCAAATGCCTCCATCACAGCTACGACTTCCTCGCCCAAGTGAACCCAACTTGCTTGCAACGACAGCAGATCAGTACTCACTTGCGCCCAGAGCATCGACAAGTCCCGACTGCCAGGTCGCCCTGCAGGCGGAATTGAAGCAGGAGACACTGGCTCGGGTGACGTATTGTCACTGAAACTTTGGGAGCTTTGGCATCGACTTCGACGACGGGCAGGGGTGTGACCAGCAGACGATTGACCTCGGACTTGAGCCTGACTAAAGCTGTCGCTCAAGTCTCGAGCTGGCCCAGCTCGAGTCCGTAGGTTCATGGAAGAACGGCTCGGCGTTGACGTCTCTACCGGCATACTCGTCGAATGTGGAGATCGCACACACGAGGATGAACCAGGACTCGTGATACGGCTCGTCGGATCATCACCATCCTCGTCCCTACTGGCTTTCGCTTTAACTTGACCTTGCAGTTCATCGCCATTACCCCCTTCCGTCGGAACACTGACCTCCTCCGTGACTTTACGCGGTTCGGGCATGGAGAAAGCATTACGAGCAAGGAGAAGCCCAAGTTCCCGTTTGCTCAGCGCACTCGACTCGGTGTGCGTGTTCACCTGGCAAAGCAAGTCATCATGCGCTGGCAGCCAAACCTCTCCGCCGTCAACTCGCACGCGCACCTGAAGCCCAACGCCATCGCCATCGCTCCTTTGACTTTTTTTTCCGGCTCCGGCACTCGCAGCCGAAACCACGTCAACTACCGTGGCATTACGCCACTTTGTGTGCCGAAGACGCGGAAGTTGGACGCCAACTTGTACCAGGTCGTGCGCTTTGAGAGCGCTGCGCCACTTTGGGACGCGGGAATAAGGAGGTGCGATTCGGGGCGAGGTGCGAGTGATCCATTCGTCCCACTTGGATTCCCAGCTCCGATAGTGCACGCACACTTTGGTGCGTTTTGTAGCAAGGAGTCGAGCCTCGAGCCAGGAAGGTGTTGTGTCGAGGACGTCCAGCGTGTCGCCTTTTGTCAGATGCATCCTCCATCGCAGCTCAGCGCCTTGGCTCGGCCACCCGAAGCTTCCAGCATCTTGTGCCTTCTGCTCAATCAGCAATTCGTGCAGTCGTGCATCGCCAGTTGCGACCTCACTGCGCCGGTCGAGACGAAGGTCATCCAGTTTCAAGTTCATTGTCGCAATGAGTCCGCCACGGTCTTCTTCGAGCTCATCAAAACCTTCACCGGGATCCAGCTCACTTGCTCCAGCATCTTCTCCACGCTGCTGTCCGTCCCTGCTCCCTTCGTCACGACAAGCCTGACGCTTCGTGATGCGGGGCTTTAGCCGCAACGATTGAGGAACTCCTCGAGCACGTTTGAGCAGCTGATTGATTGACACCCACACAAGTTCGCTATTGCTCGCCCAGGACTTGCGGTAACAGGCACGAACTCGCGACACATCCGCTGAAGTCGTTGCATCCGGAAGCGAAGGACTGGTTGGACCAATGCCGAAGAGGAATTGAGGGAATTGGCGACGGAACTCGTCGGGCGCAGCTCGCCACACCTCACTCAGCAACCTGCCCAAAGTATCTGATCGATACCCCAACAGCACAACGACTTGACCCGCTTCATCCACGAGCTCGCTCGGTTCAACGGCATCACAAGTCCAGAATCGAATCTGCTCAATGCATACGAACGGGTAGGAATCGAGCACTTGTAACGAGACGAGATGATAGCACGACGAGATCCACGCACCTTAAACACGTAAGGGTAGGAATCGAGCTGCAGCTGGAGCCGGCTTCTTTGGTAGATCACTTCACGGCGGATTTCCCAGTCATATCCGAGCTCGTGTGCGATCACGTCCCACGATCCCTCCGACACGAACACAAAGTCGACTCCTTCCTCGAGTTGGGGCTTCAGAACGGCCACATGGCGATCCTTTGAGCTCAACTGCGTGTCAACCAGCGGTTCATTTTGCACACTTGGTCCATCGTTCGCTTTCGAGCTGGCCTGGAACTCTTCCCACCACGAAACCGCAACGGCGTACCAGGAATCTCCTTCTTCCAGCACAGTGTTCTTTGTGAGCTCCCTGACTTTCTGCAGCGTCGACGTCCTCGGCATCTCGTTGTAGCCAGCACTAAATTGTATCTATGGACTCGTTCTTGTCAGGCTTCTTCACAGACACCTCGTCCCGACGTACGTATGTCAATGCAACTGCCCATCAACTTCAACAAATACCGTTGTGACAAGGTACTAGTCGCACAGATAACACCACCCTGATCCTTACAAGTCTTCGTGGCGCCGAGCCAAGCCAGTCGGCATCAACAGTGTATTGTTTTCAATGTACTTGTCGGTGATAGCCACGTGAGCCATAGATGGATCTACAAAGCCGCCAAGTGGCGCCGGTTGTAAACTAATGTGCCAGTGTCGTGGCTGGGGGCACGACCTTCACACGTACTTTCATCGTGGCAGTCCTCTACGTTCGATCACGTCTTTACCCTTTGCAGCCAAACATTTGCTGACTGCAGAACACGCATCATGCTCGACTAGGTAAACCAGAGTAAGCAAGCTAGCTTCGTCTCTCCAGAAAGCAGGTACCGAGAAAACTGTGACTGATGCCGGCAGCCAAAGCTGTGGTGCTGACTTGCACAATTCATCAAGTTGGCCATCTTACGCGAAAGAGGATGACTACGATGTCTAGTGGTCGCAACAACGTATGCAGGAGAACTACTCGCCCCTTAACTGGCGAGCCCTACCTAGATCGCTTTTACAGGAGCGAGAGTCAAAAAATGGCACGCGGCACTTCCTTGGTAAGCAGAAGAGGGTCATGCCAGCGAACCAGTGCTTTCACGCTTCATCTTCACCTCGGAAGAGGTGCCTAACAACGACACTTTGGTTGACATAGCAACTCGCTCACATTAACGACCTTTGTATTTCCGTCCATTTAAAATCGATACTAACGAGTACCCACACGGACTCAATGAACCATCGCTTAGTCAACAGCACCAACGCCTCTTGTACTCTTCTTAAACATCACTCCATCAACTGTGTGAGGTCGTTGTCGTGGGTTTTTTTAGGCGACCTAGATTAAGCCCATCAAGTCAGTGTCGCCCGCTGAAGACCCCCTCGGCAGCGACCAGATCAGTTTGTCCAATGGCGCGGCGCACGTCGTCCACGTGCGAGAGCTTCTTGTCCAACGACGGCAGCGACGACGTCGTCGTGCGGTACAAATGGAACGGCGAGTCCATTGGGCTCGAGCTCATGCGCTCGTCCGCGTCGTCCGACGAGCACCTCGTGCAGTGGGGCACGGGCTCGCTCGGCGTCACGCTCAGCGTCGAGGAGACGTCTCGACGCATCATTGTCACGCGCTCGAGTCGCATTGACGTCCAAGTCGGGGACGTCCTGCTTCAGGCCGGCCACGTGCTGCTCACGGAGCACAATCTGAGCCACGAGATGGCGCTGCTCAAGCAGCAGCGCGAACGGGGCGGCGCCCCCGTGCCGTTTGTGTTTCGATCCCCTCCTCCACCTGTGCTGGTAAAGAAGTGTGCTGGAGCACTTCGAGAAGCTGGGGTAGGCCCGACGTTCGAGCTGCGGTACGTCGACGGTCGCGTCGTGCGGTACCTCGAGATGAAGGAGCTCCAGGTGCTCATCCGCAACTCGCACAAGCCGTGCACCATGGCGTTTGTCCAGTGCAAGGGGAAGCAGTTTTACGAAGTGCTCCAGCGTCAGGAGCACCATCGACGTAAGATTCAGCAGGTCAGTCAAGCGGCTGCAGCGAGTGCGGGGCTGGCGCTCGCTGCCGCGATTGTTGTTAACATTACATGAACAAAGTGAAGCCCGGGCAGAGGAGTGGAAAAAACAGGTTGGAACGCGCTTCTCTTGCGAGTGGAATTGCTATAAAGTCGTTTAGCGTCTCTGTGTGTAGCTTTTGGTCGGAAGCGCTTTTTCTTTTCGTGCATCCCCGTTGGGCCCGGAACGAGCGTTGACAGCGCTCGGACTCGAACGCTTCTGTTCGGAACGAGCTTCGACGCTGACGCCGGTCTAGCCTGGCAGCAAGCTTACCACTGCCTACTTGACATCGGTACTGCATACCTTGTCTCTCGCAAGTGCAGCGTTGCATCCTGTTCGGATCCGCTTCGCTTCAGTAACGACGCAGCAGCCTATGCCTTAAATTGCTGTGATTATATGAGCGCGCCGACAAGCGTTATGGCTTTCATAGCTAGAGATCGGTGGTCCCGGATTCATTCAAGACATAGCATCTATGTATGATGCAACGTGACGTTCCGCCATACCTACACATAAAAGCCAAAAATCCAGCGGCTAATGCGCCCCGAAAAGGCACATTTCTCCAAGATGGTCAATACGTTATAGTACAAAAAAATAGTTTAGCTTTGGAATCATCGATACAAAGCAGTGGCACATGCACCACGCACGATCTCCTGAGTTGTGAGTTTACGCTCATCCGTCGTATCTGATCGCACGTCTTTGCTGTAAAGGAATAAATGACGTGACAAATGATCTGTTACGTCGAAAGAATCGGCTGAGCATGCAACGTCCGCCGCACTCTTATCCTCACGCACAACATGGTTTGGATGGATAACGGCGAAGCGCTTGCGTTGCCAAATCTGCCGACACGAGATACGGAACAAATGAAAACCTTGGATTGCAGCTGTGACTGCAAGACTTACACAGCTGAAACTCAGTGGGACGGGTAAACACTGCATTTTCATGTTACGAACGAAATTACGTTGCGGTAACCGCTACAACTTCGTCAGTGAGTTTTCGCCGTTTGTCACGCACTGCCGCAATCTCGTGAGCACATCGAACCGATGTCATGGTCTGTTTTTACAAGAAGTTTTTTTTTACTATTTAAACCTTTCATCTCGTTTTACAGCAAAGCTAACGCAACTGCGATTAGATCTACTCATTGTGCATACTTACGAACTTGAAGCTCACGTCTGTAATTCATTCAACTATTCTCGCCTTCGCATTTGACTTCCTGCGTGGTACGTTTGTCTGCACGCATTCTTGATTAAAGCAATATTCTGATGCTGGAATAGCATAGGGTCTCTATACAGATCACCAGAATATTATAACATCCGAGTTTCACCGACGGTACACACACCTGCACCGTCCGCCTCGTTAACGTTTACTGAAGCGTTGTCGATCACAGACACCGGAAGATTTAGTGCAATTACAAAGCAACGCGTTTGCCAAACGCTGATCTGCAATCTCGACCGTTTTACAAGCAGAGGTGATACCGCTTGTTTTTGGTATTACCGGATCTACTGTCTATCGCTGACCGTGCTGAGCAATCTTTATCCATGTCGTCGTTCACGCTTTCAACGGAAGTTTGCACTACGTCTTGTAGCCTATAATTTGCGGGTGTGTAGCAGGGAAATATGCCACCCTGTTCGTCGAGGGTTTGACTTCAGCGTTAGTTCTGCAGAGCTAATGGCAACGATTTATGAGTATGCCCGTTCTAAACAACTAGTTAAGACTCTACAGTCAACACGCAAAAGCTTGAGCTCTAAAAAACTAATAGCACAAGGTGCTCAGGGTAACAAGTCTATTAGACTTGAGCTCATCTGCTGAAACGGCGAACTGAACTTTATACAAGAATTGTTACATTTACTCCCTTTTGGTTGGATTCACTCCCTTTCTTTCATTTGGTAAACATGCAAAACAGCCGACATATCCCGCTCAAACAAAGGTAACGTTAGTGCGTACACCTCAAGATCGTAACTGATATGACAGTCCTTCGCAAACATCTCATCCCCGGCTCTTATACGACATATTCGGTCTGTACAATCGCTCGCAGTATCGTGACACAAAGTTCGACACCGCTTTACAACGACGTATCCTTAACTATGTGAGAGTGGGATATATGCCATAGCGGCTCTCAGTTCATGGGGAGGTGTAACGATGGCATAACTATTTAGACAACAATATATGACTGAAACACGAGCAGAACTCATTTTCACTTAATTTCACATTTTTATCGTTTTAGACACCTAAACGTGTTGATAAGAAGAAGAAGAATAGCAACGTGCATATCGCGTGGTGTTCGTGCTTCACAATTGCACATGCCTCTCTTGATAAGGCTCGAGCTGCTGTATAGGCCCATGCAATGTCACAAAAAATGTAATTGCTGCCAAATGTGTGCAAAAATGGTCGAATTTACACTGCTGCTACTTCTAGATACTCTACTGGTTCGACATCTACTTTTACACTATGTGGCATGTACGTGCATTGTGCCCTGTTTCTAGTAAAGCCGTCCACAACGGCGACGAGGTGCAGGATTAGCAGCTTTCTGCGAGCTTAAATGCGGATGGCAAGCGGCATGTTGACCGTGTTGGCCGGCCTCGCGTCTCTGCTTGCACAGGATCGCTGACAACAACATCATTGGAGATCGCAAGCATACCCTCAAGAAGCATGCGCTTGCGATAACTCTCAGAATCATCATAGTCATCTGCAGTTCTCTTCAACGCTGTCTCCATTGATGGCAGATCAACATCTGCAACATTTGGCGGTGGCGGCTGGACCTGACCACTAATGCTGATCGAAGTCATTGAAGGCTAGCGGTACCACTGGCCGGCTACGGCCGCGGAGACGCATCTCATGTTGGCATGGATGCCTGATTGTTGATCTAAAAAGACCAAGACATATGTTGCTGACCTCTTCATTTTGCTTCTGCAAATGTAGTAGCTGGTATGCGCCGCGCAGTGCATGTACAGATACGAAAAAAGCGGTCCCACTCCCAGGTTGACCATTGCCCACTCTGCTTCATTTTTCTGTACGATAGCAGCCGGCTGACCTTTACATGCAAGCCGAACTGCGCCATCCATTGCCAGTAGGTGGTGACCTGAAAATGCACTTACCTGTCAGCAACAGCATGGACCGCATGTGACTTAACTGAAAGATACACGTACCTGTTGATGTCCCAATCCATTTTTTGAGGGCTGCATGTGTGCTCTCTACACCTGACGTTAAGACGTGCCCATAACGGTTTTTTTCGTGTAACAATGCTGACACAAAACTCTCCTTGGACACCAGCCATGTGTCATTGCAGTAGCGTAAGACGTGCGCAGGGATCTCTCCCTCATGCCATGTCTGGATGTTTCGGATTTGGTGACAACTGTTAGAACAAATCACGGTTAGGAAGCCCTCTGGAAGAGGAAGACAAAGTTCTACCGTGAGTTGTTCGTGGTAACTTTTAACCGTGGTGGTACTGATCAGAGCATTCCATGCCTTCATAAAGTCTTACCATGCTTCTGCTGTGAAACCTGCTCTGTCCTTGGCGAGGATATTTTTGTTGACATGCCACCTGCACAGCAGCATGTTGGCAGTGGGAAATGTGCCATTAAGCGCACCTAAGAGCGCAAGCTTACGATCGGTCACAAAGGTGACATTGTGGTGGGAAAATTTTGTTATTCAAACACATCATCTCGAAGGCGATGCACGGCCCAACGGCATTCTGCAGCTGTCTCTCTTTGCATCAAGCGGTATGCAAAGGTAAAGCTCTGGTGGTACGATGTGGCACCAACAACATGGAACAGAGGCGTTCCAAACTTGTTTGGCTTATATGTTGCATCCAGTAGCCACACTTTACCGGCACAAAACTTTTGGCAGATCTCGTGGGCGCAAGATGAAATAACTAGTAGATGGGTGAGCTTCTGCTCCCTATCAACTTGTGAGAAGTGGCGGGCATCATCACCAAGGCTGTCCAGCAGCGCTGAATGAGTGAGCGGCCGTTGAGCATCCTATCCAGTTCGCTATTCCTAATGTTGCGGACATCTTGTCCTGTCAGCATAACACCTTCATTCGTTCGAATTAAAGTGTTGATACGGCTGTTTGGAACAAGTGCACGTAAAAGAACTCAATACACTTTGGCTTGGTTCTGGTGTGAGCATGCCAGTGCGTCCCTGAGGATGCGCGCTCTCGGATGTGCAAACGCCTCATGGTTGTGTTTAACGTTAGTGATTTCAACAAGCCATTGGTTGTCTTGAGTGCGTATGTTGGCTCCAAAAAGACAGCCACTGCTCCGACTTGGCCTCATACACTCGCCTGGGCTACTGGGCACAACAGAACTGTTCGATTGCAAGTACTGATAGTATACCACCTTAAGATCGCCTTTCATCCTGTTGCCAACCCTCTTGGTGGGCTTGACGACAATGACATACCACTGTGATGTTGCATGGGCCTTTACAGCAGCTTGAGCCTCAGCAAGAGAGGCATGTAGAATTGTGAAGCGGGGAGGAAGGGTGGTCATTTTGATGGAGTCGTTGTAGCGGGGAAGGTTGCAATATGTGGGTGTCTTGTGGGTGTTGAAATCCTTACAGTTGCGTTCGTTCTCTTTGACCAATCAAAAGTCCAATTTTCTGTACCTCACCTCTAACTGTAACCAATATAAACGGTGCTTTATAGCCAATCAAAATTAATCTAGGGGGATGTTTCATGTTGGGTGGCGGATGGATTACGCTTCCCTAAAGCATTACGATAAAAAGGATTTCAAACTTGCCATATTCACATGCGCATCCATTGAAGAAATGAATGGCTTCAAATGCACTTTAATTTCAGCACGGTCACTAGAGAAGATTGCCAGTCAGTCCTTGGTAAATCTGGGAATTGCTTACTCACTTTGGCGTACCTGTGACGCGCACGCCGTCAATTGGTAGCGCTGTAAGCTCTCTCTTGAGCAGACGAACGCCAAGGGGGATGATGAGCGGGGGAACAGCGAAACTAGACGCACTGATAATGGGCGTCACCACGGACATGTGGAAGTCGTCCTTAATCTTCTGCGTCTAAAAGTTTCTAGAGTCTTC